CTGTATCGGCTCCCGCCTGCTGGGTGACTCCACCCGTTCCGTTCCATTCCTTCCATTCCATCTGCTGCTACTACTGCTGCTGTTGTTGTCTTTAGTCACGGCAACATAGTTCACAGGAGGGCGACGTACTATTGAAATTGATGAATTATGGACCAGAAACCATTAGCCGGGCGGAGCAGATGGCCCCGCCTGCATTTTGAGAGTTAAGGAAAGAAACGGTCTTTTTTCCTTCAATGATCGCAAGTAATATTAATCCAGGTTAGTGATTTGCTCTGCTCGTCATCGATCAGTGGAACATGCGGTGGTCATCGAAACTCAGGCTCCCGCGCCCAGCCAACCCCGTCGGTCCAACCAGGCGGTAAATCCCGCGCTGATGACTACGACTGATAACCAAGCCTCAATTCATCGGGATTGTAGATATCAGATGGCATTCCTTCCCATTGGCAGAGAAAGTTTAGTCTCGTCATCTCAACTTTCGTCTTTCGTCTTTCGTCGATTTCGCCATTGCCTTCAGCAGGTCCTCCCAGAGTTGGGCCCGAACATTAGCAACAATTCATGTTACCGTGATGATCCATTTGTCTATGTCTACGGAGTACCTGGTAGTGCCTGCACTTTGGGCCTTGGGCTCTGGGCTCGAGCGTAATAGCGGCGACGACCGACGGCGTTGCTGCATGCGGGAAAGTCGTGAGTTGTGAGTTGTGTGAGGCGGTCTTTTGGAGTGGGACTCCACCTTCCAGTGTTTCAGAATGTCCTGTCAGACTCGGACATGAAGGATGCGGACGATCTTGCTCCAGTCGCCCTGCTCATCGGGTTCCATCATGTGTTGCTGTCAAACCATAATTCTTGTTCTTCTAAGTCCTGTCTGCCGCCTTGTATAGATGTATGATAGAAATTAAGGTCATGGTTTTTAGGCAGGAACCATCGCAGCAGTCCAACCGCAGCACTGCACCAGTATCTCCCTCGTCCAATTCGTCCTAAACAGTACCCCAACTGTTTTTACGTTTTCGTCATCGCTTTTCCCTCTACGGAACTCAATTCCGCTATTCTGGGCGCCATCATTGTCATCGCTGCTGGTCGAATGGATTGTGTGCTCCATGCCTTTCCGGAGCCACTAATCCCATTTTTTTTTTACCCAGAGTCTTGGGTACGCTCCATTTTCCAACTTTCTAAGAGTGGATTTGGGGATTCTGTCTAGGTAAAAAGCGAGCGCTCTGCTAGGAGGGAGCAACTTGCGATTCGCTACGGTCTCGCTAACGACTCAGTGCGGCTAGTTTTTCATGGTGGAAGTGGAGAAGAGCAGTAGGAAGCCAACCGAAAATACGGATGGTTAGAGGCCCCTTCAAGTCCTTGCAAATGAAGTTCGCAATTCGCGGTGCGATTGGAGAAGAAAGACTAGATACCATTTGTACTGAGTACGTCGTCCTCAATGCTCCCCCTAAATCGACGGTGAGGCATTTTCCTAGTCTCTGCACCCGCTGCCAACTCTTTTATTCCCGGCTTAGCGTCTACATACTAACTTACCGTTCGCTTGGGAAGCCTCAAAGCAACTTGGAACATTCCCCTAATTGCCCGTAATGGAACCGTGGCCGCCAACTTACAGGAGGCCATGGGGATATCTTCCCCCGCCGGGCCCCCCCTAATAATGACGAACACAGCGTTCTCAAAGCAAGGGTTACTTACAGTTCTAAATCTTAACTGCTCGCTAACAAGCTATCTGATTTCAATTATTGTCATTGTGTTGCTTCTTGTCCTACCGACAGATAGGCTAACTTCAATCATCCGTCATTGCGTTGAAACCTGCAGAGCTGCAACATCTACTCTCGTTTTCACACATAACAGTTACCTGTGCGCTGAGACGTTCTCATTTCCTTATCTGTTGGCTGAAAGTTATTGCCGGGACTCCAATACAGCCTAAACATTACATTCGCCTGATAGCAGCACTGCCAGACTGGGACGATGCGCACATGTCATGGCAATCGTGCGAGGTATGCGCCCGGCTGCAGAGTGGTCGCACGCACGTATTCAGAGCGGTGGCCGATGGTGACACACGGGCATTGACAAATCCCCCCAGAGGCGCTCTCCTGGTGCAGGGACCTCAGTCTAACTCGCACCAACTGACTGAGATCGTTAGTAGTCATCAGATGCAAGGACTATTGACTGAGACTTGATCTCAGCGTCTGCATGATGCCGTAATCGCGCGTGCATACCTAAGCCGCCTTCATCATCGGGGTGGTCAAGCACCGGGACCAAACTATTATTGCCCTATCATTTTACTGGAGCTGGATGCAGGAGCTAGTTCCAGATCGCTAACTAGCTATTCTAGCAGGGCTTAGTCTACTGATCATGATCAATAGTATGGACCGATAATTTTCCAATAACAGGTGTTGTGGTGTGAGGATCATCATTATCGCAAGCCTCTCTAGATCCAGTGGCAGGGGGGGGGGAAGACGGGGAGGGGCTTGAAGGCTGCAGTGCTGCAGTGCTGCAGTAGGTGGGCAGGCAGAGCGTTACGCTGACATCATTTCACATGCTTGTCAGTTGAGGTATTTCGAGGTGTCTTCATTGCTCGACGCGGATCCCGGCGGCTTTCCCTCAAATCAAGAATTGGTTGCCCTGTGGCGGCTGCCGAGGATGGATAGACAATACGAAGGAGGGCCAGACAGGGCAGAGACAAGGGCACAGCAGAAGAACAATAAAAACCACTAACTGTTCCTGCCCAACGTTGCTCGGCACGGCACGGCACGTAGAAAAGGAATAAGATGAGGCCGTGGTTTCCGGCCTCTGCTCTTATCGCGAAAGAAGACACTCGACCGACCGACGGTTGGCTGTTGTCTGTTGGTTGGGGGAGGACCACCACTAACCTAAGAAGTCTGGAGGAGTATCCATGAGGATGGAATGAATGAATGAATGAATGAATGAATAGTGTTTTCCAATCCTTCCAGGCTCCCTCCCTCCCTTTGCCCGTTGCATGAATATGGCAACGACGACGTCATGGTTGAGTAGAGGACTCAGTAAGTTAATCATGGCTCACCTCAGGCTGGCACCTCACCGGCATTTCTCCTTCTCATCACCATGCGGTAAGGAACACCAAGAAGGAACATTGATTAATTCACTGAGTTATTCGTCGGTCCCAACAACTACCTAACTACTACTACTAAGTCACTTACTTACCTTACTTACTGTACAGTAACTAGCTCACAGTTTGGTTGTTGTTGCTCCCGCCCGTGTGATTCTCACGTTCCGGCAGGTACGGAGGAGCAAGCAATTCAGGTTCAACAGTTCTCCATCCTTCCTTTGCCCCGCCACCCCGCCCTGAAGCTGTTGACCGAAACCCATCCCTCCTCTCTCTCCTCTCCTCTGCTCTGCTCTTACTCACTTCCCCCCCTCATATTCTCGCTTGGGCAGATCAATTATCCTTCTCCCCCCAAATCCCTCTCTCTCTTACATCGCCTTTTTTTTTTTCTTCCCTACAAGCTACCGCTTGCCTTTCACAATGGCTGCTTCTGCTCCTAATCTCTACAGCTTTGCGAATACCGATGCCCTGGCCCAGCAACTGAGGCCTTATGTCCTCCGTATACAGAACTCCGCCTTGAATCGTCACAGCACTTTTCGTGTTGCTGTCTCTGGTGGTTCCTTGCCGAAGGTGCTGGCGCAGGCTCTCCTCGCGCCTGGAGATGGCTCCGAAGAAGATACTGCTCAGTTCTCCAAGTGGCACATCTTTTTCGCTGATGAGCGCGCCGTACCCCTCGACCACGAGGACAGCAACTACCGTTTGTTGAAGGATGAACTGCTCGATAAAATTCCAGCGGATATGGGGGCTCCCACCGTGCATACGATCGACCCCGCTCACGTCAACGATGAGGATCCCCAGGAGCTGGCCGACCTGTACCAGGAGGACCTCATGCGCTCCTTTGCGGCCAAAGATAGTGTGAAGCTGCCTGTCTTCGATCTCATCCTCTTGGGATGCGGGCCTGATGGTCACACCTGCAGTCTTTTCCCTGGCCACGAGCTTCTCAGAGAGAAGGATGCTTGGACGGCAGCTATCAGCGACTCACCCAAGCCGCCTCCGAAGCGCATCACCCTTACTCTGCCGGTGGTCACGCACGCTCTCAACATCGCCTTTGTCGCGACTGGAGGTGGAAAGAAGGATATCATGAAGCAAATCTTTGATGCCGAGGAAGGAAGAGACTTGCCATCCTCGTTGGTCAACCAGGGAGCCGGTGAGAAAGTCAGCTGGTTCACTGACCATGCGGCCATTGAGGGCGTCGCCTTCCCGAGACGTGGCAGCTTGTAGTTGATGAGCGCATATGGGCCAAATTGATTTCGTTCGATCAGAACTACGTGCGCAGGTAATGTGAGAGATATGATAGCTATCAGTTATTGCGCTTTTGCACGATGCAGTTCCGTGATGGAAATGACTGAGGGAAGTGGATGGGGTTGGGAGTTTGATGAGCGCTGTCGCTAGGACTGGATGACTTGTCCCGCCTTTTCTATCTGCGAGTTTCCCTTCTAGACTTCCGGAAAAGTTTGTGTTGTTATCATGTGGATATCACAGACCGCTTCTCGATGAATGGACGAATGCTATAATCACGTGAAGTCGCCCCAGTGCTTGGCAGACGAGATCTGAAGCTCCGTACGGTCCGTTCGGTCAATGGTTGAAAAGATCAAGGGTCATAATTATCATGAGTATAAGTTCCAGTTCCTGTAGTAGCAGTGTTGAGGGTGACCAACTTTGACCATACATGCGCAACAACCCTGCTGGAGGTGCTCACCGGGCTGAGCCAAGCTTCCACTGGGTGATGCGGAACCTTCACCGCAGCTGCCTCCGTCCGGAACTGCCGCCTTCAGCTGAACTCAGACCTCCACCTCTGCGACTCTGCGCAGGCACTATTTACATCGGTAGCGAGAAGAGGCTATGTCCTGTCTACGAGGCTCAATCCTAAATACATTGTGTCTTCTAGTCAACTTAGCGCCCGCAAATGTCTTGATCTACCATCATCATGCCGATTCCAACGCGCTCCCTTTCCCTCCGTGAGCCCCGTACCAGTAAGGTTAGTTGCATCTCGTCATCCCTTGATTACCTCTCTCTCATTTCAAATGACCGCAATGGCCTCGGAACACCTTTGACAGTCTGCTCTGCTTTATGCTTCTCTTGGGTGCTATACCAATCTCGCTGTTTCCTGATTGCTGACACAAAAATCATCAGCCATTGACCACCGGGCGCTCTACTACCACCAAAGCCAATCCTCCCACAACTTCGACAGCAGTTGGCGGCAAATCTTCTTATCCTGCCACCGGAAATGAGAATATCACAACACGAAACAAGAGCCTTCTGCCAATACGTGACGATGTCCGCTCTGCGAAGCCCTCTCGAATCCAGCAGCCGGCAGAGACTCGCCTGTCCCAGCGGCCGACCAAGATCGGGGGAAAGGGGTCTCAGCAGCAAGGTGAACCTTCGACACGCGAAGCGACCGCAGCAAGTCGCCGCCAGAGCCTCATTCGACCCAGTCCCCTGAAGCCTATTGGACCTGTGAAGCCAACCGCTACGCTAAGCACCCCTAAACAGGCCACTTTTGCACCAAGTCCATTGTCTCCCTCCAAACAAGAACTAGCTCATAGGCAGGATGGACGGCCCTTATCTCCCAAGAAAGCAGATATGCCTCCCCCGTTGCTCCGACCCAGTCGCTCCGCATCCTTGCGACAGCCAGTTAAGCCCAGCTCCAGCACGCCGTCCATCAGTCGCGGTCACGCGCGTCATCGAAGTCAAGGGGTCACGCCCAATGTGAGTCGAGCGATAGGCAAATTGGAGTCACCTTCACCGAGCACCATAACTCCGACACGTCCGAGAGCTCAGATTTCGTCCCAGCCGCAAGCTCTACTATCCAAAAAGGCGGTCAACCCGGCTACAAAAAATCTGACTGTCACCATCTCCGAGGATGCGGATGCTTCTTCATTACCCTCATCCTTCCCCGAGCTTGCAGCCTTGCAGACAGAGCTTTTACAACTAAGCCTTACGCACTCCTCATCTCTTCAGCAGAAGACGTCCTGGACGGCCCATGTCGAAGCTCAACTCCGAAAGGACTACAGCTCCGTGGCCACTAAATACCGCGCCGCGCTCGCTGCAGAGCAGGATTATCAGACGAAACTCAATGGACACGCACTGCATTGCTGGCTTCGAAATTCTGGTGAGCACGATGGCCCACTCGGATTTGCGGAGCAGATTCGGGTACTCTCGCAGGTTGCAGAGGACGTGTACATGGTGACGGAGTCTCCTGAAGGGCAGTACACGGTGGCCGTGCAGAAATTTGAAGAGTGGTTTCAGCGGATGGAAGAGATTCGGCACCACCGGCTGCTGTACCATGAGCACGAAATGTACGACGGCGTTTTCATTGATTCCTTAGACCGCACTTGGCAAGAAGAGGTGTCGACTTTATCTACAAAATTGGACTATTGCTCGCGGCAGCTACAAAGCCTGGACCTCTTGGGCTACGGAGAATTGGAGCGATTCGACGGCTCTGCGCTGTTTCGCATGATTAAGCACCTCGAGGAGACGGTGAACCTGATGATCGAGGAGCTGCACACAATCCGTAAGATTGAAGGCGACGTTGTAAGAGCGGAACGGGCATGGGTTGGTCAACTTGCTCGGAAGCTGGTGAGCGCCGTGCTACCCCAAGAGCAGCGACTGGGACTCTGGAAGAAACAGACCTCCATGCAATCATGATGGATCATTTGCAATCACTTTTCTTTCCTGGCGGCGAATCCTCTGTCTCACTCACCATGGTTGAGCGGACAAAATCTGCAGAGACCAATCTGTTTATCAAACAAGCAATCCTTCTGGAAATCAGTGCACCGGATTCGGGCGAGAGATCGACTGCCGTAAGCGTTACCGGGCCATGGATTCGCTTGGCGGAACATGGAGGGGAGGGGGGATCAAACCAGCCATGCATCATGGGGTCATCAAGGGACGAAAAAACCGGTTCTGGCAGGCTCCTGGCCGCTCATTGGGAGGCCTGGCTGATTTCTACACTGGGTAGCCCTGCTCACTAGCTGCCTTGCGTCGCAAGCGATCGGGCAACCCCTTCCAGGACTTCTGCATAAAGCGACCCGGCTGTCAAAAGGGCCTGTCCCGATTCTAGAAGGTAGGCATTGCTACACCTGAAACCTTGATTTGGGCCAAGGCTAACCCGGGACCTAAACACTAGTCCACCCAAAATTTCGCTGTAGTCACCTCCTTCCACTCTGCCTGTCCATTTTACAGAGTTTTCCCCCTCGACACGCGACGCTGAAGGCCGGGCCGTATCAACAGCATTTCATCACCCCCACCGTCAACTGACTTTTGTTGAAAACGACGGTTGATACTTGCCAGATGAGAGTTCAGTGCACTGGTCAACCCCTGAGCGATTCGTGTGTGCCCTGGTGGTTAGACTGTACCACCTATGGTCATGTTTCACCGCTGGCGATGCCGACAGTAGCGTACAGATAGACCTTGGCTTCATCGAGCCGGGGACTCTTCAGTGGACTTGGGCTTCCTGTCAAAGAGAAGGAAACAACCCAACAAGGCTGCACACGTCCATACAGCCCGTATTTCTTCTCGCACTCGAGCCAGAAGCAGAGAGGTCCAGTGCAGATGAGCGGACGAAAATCCACTCCGAACCAGTTGTTGAGCTGTCAAGCCGACAATCGTCCCCACCTTGTCCCAGAGACTGTGCTGAGACAAAGCAGGGAAAACCTGGGAAAGTGGGAAGAGGAGAAGAGCAATGGATCCGGTTTTTCGTCTGACCGGGAAGGCTGTTGACCTGGAGGGCCGCGATATTACCCGCCGCTCCTCTTGCGACTAGACTGAAGACGACCTAGATCTTTCTCTTTTCTTATTATCCTCCCTATGGACCAGCCTGAGAGAGAACAGAAGATACTGTACAGAAATATGCTGCTGCATTGCCCTAGTTCATCACGGAGTCCGTGCTCCAGTAAATCATTGCTCTGCTCACTGTGGTTCGGAGTTGGACGGGAAGGGGGGGAGGGGAACGGGGAGGGATTAGTTTTGGAAGGCGAGAGAAGGTCAACGAACAGTCCGACTTTCAAGAAGCTGAGCCGGGAATAAGATCCTCACCGCGCCCATGCGGGCGGGTTGTAATGGGGAGGGAGGGATGGGTCACGATTGGATGAGCCGAGAGGAGACGGTGGGCAGATATGAGATTTATATAGAGATTGCTTTTTCGCTGGGCTTCGGCTTTGCTCAACCGACTGACGGATGGACTGACCCATCGTTTCGTTTCTGGGGGAGAGAGTTCAGCGAACGTGGGGACTTTGGTCGTCATTCCAACCTTTTTTTTTTTTTTTTTTTTTTCTTAAGAGTATGTAGTATTTTTCTTTTTCTTTTCTCTTTTCTTTTTTTTTTTTTTCTTGGGACTCCATTTTTAGTTTTGCTAGCAGCACAGCAGAAGGTAGTGTCAAGCTTAAGCATTAGGGTCATGCTCATATTAATCTCCCCCCTTCAGCCGTGTAACCTCGTACCGAGATGGGAGGTGAAGAGATGCGTATACCTCGACCTCTAGCTGCTTGCTTGCTTGTTTGCTTGCTTGCTACTCTCTTCCTCCCTTCCTTTATCTCTTTTGGTGCTCATGCACTCAACAGACCGTCCGGCCGAGTAAACAGACCATGGCCCCATGTATCCTCCTCAGTTGGTCGAATCATAGACATCAGATGGGGGGATCGCGGGTCTACCCAGATCGGTGACCTTTCTCCTTTCGGTATGGTAGGCAATTGAGATGATAGTCTAGTTCCAGGCTTAGAGGATGTACTGAGTACGTGTGGCTGGCTGTTAGTGTGAAGAGGCTGTAAGGTTGTCACTCACTCACTCTCACCTTAACGGTCAGTCACCCGACAATGCGGTGAAATGAGACAAATGCTTACTACCCTTTCTCCTCCATCTGCTCGGGAAAGAAAAAAAAAAACGAACAAGGTCTCGGGGAGGAGGCGAAAAAGATCAGGGCAGAAGCAGGAGCAATATGACCAGAATGCCATCATTCTGCGCGCAATTCGCAGTTAATCATGAAGGGGGGGCGAACCAGCCTACCTACTTGACCAGCAATCACCAACATGAAATAAGTTTTGTAACTACAGTACACAGTAAGTCAGTAGGACATAGTATTGCAATAATATGGTGAATTAGTAGATTGCCTAGCTACCTACGGAGTAGTTTTTCAAGTAAGTCAGTTAGTTACTACTTAACTACTACATGACCACTACAACTGTTACGGTGCTCAAACGGTGGTTCTGGGCCCAGTGGATCTTTTGGTTCCTTTTCTGGCCCATTCTCGATTTTGGTTCTTTTCTCTCTCTCCCCTCCTCTGGCTGCTTGCTCGATTGGCTTGGCTACTATGTCCTGCCTTCGTGGTCGTTTTCTTACTCTGGTTTACTGCTGCTGCTGCTGCTGCTGCTAATACTATACTACACCCCTTCCTCATCGCTCTATCCTCTTCTATCTTATTCCTCTTCCCCTTTCACTTTTTGCCGGCAGCACCATTCATTCCCCTCTCCACGGCTTTCTCTTTTCAGCTTGGGCTCGTCCAAAGTACTCGGTACTATTCTGGTACGGGAGTCGGTGTTGCGACCCCATCCATTGGTTCGTTCCAGGAAGAGATCGGGTGCACAGTCCGGAATCTGGTCAGCTTTCTTTCTCATATACCCGAAACAATCTGGACCCCAGGCCGTCTTTGGGCCTATTCTTCCAAGTTGCCTTCTTCCTCACTCTCGCTCTTTCTACTATCTCTCTTCCCGCGCTCTTTGCTCTTTGCTCTTCCCCAACCTTTTCCTTTTCTTTCACCACTGCACTTGACACTACTTGACTCAACCCAACTCTACCGCAACTGCGAATCGCGCGGTGACATTTTCACTGGAAGGGCATCTATCTGGGGCTTGCTGCTGCTGTACCTGCCAGGTGTGGATGGCTGCAGACCTATCGACTGTATCCATCACCAGTCACCAGAAGATCTCCGCGGGCCTGCGTTCATTTTACTTCTTATGTCGGGCCTCGTCTCACGCCGGGATCAGCAGCAACTGAGAGCTTTGCGCCGCCGTTTATCTGCGCGAACCCCAGGCTGACGTCATTCGAGCTGCAGTGGTTCAACTCCTCTTTCTTTCTTTTTTTTTTTCCCGCCCCCTCCCTCTCCCCTTCTTTTCACATTCCCGCCGCAGCGCAATGATCCACACTTGTTCGGTAATCATACCGTCTGACACCTGGTAATTGTCTGGTAACAAGACCGCCGTCTCGATCACCCAAACCAACCCACCCACCCAGCCGGCCTTACACCTCCGCCACAATGAAAGAGTCCCTCTACGATCGTATCTGGCGTCGAGAATCGGGGGCATTTTCCCACTTGGCTGGCATTCATGACCTTTATGGCTCTCCGGAATGGGTCCAGGACCTTGATATTGTAAACGAGCTTGGTGGTCACTCTGGTTGTGTCAATGCTTTGAGGTATGTATCTCTCTCTACCTTATCTATCGATCCTCTTTCCATCTTTCGCCCGGAACTCTCGGCTGGTTCTGAGCTAGTATATGTCTTGTATCCCCCCTTACCACCTCCGTTATTATTATTATCATTATCATTTATTACCCCTAGTCTATGCAGCATGACGTTCCCGCCCTTCTGACAGAGAACAGCTGGTCGCGGTCTGGCCGCCTGCTGGCTTCGGGTTCGGATGATCAGCACTTGAACATCTACGCCTACCAACCTGACTCCTCAGCAGCTCCCTTTGCGCTCAGCACCACCATCGACACCGGCCATACAGCCAATATCTTTTCCGTCAAGTTTATGCCACATTCCAATGATCGAACCCTAGTCTCGTGCGCCGGGGACTCCCAGGTCCGAGTCTTCGACATTGAGTATTCCAATAGCAATGGGCATCTGGCTGGAAATTCGACCTTTGCTTCATCGGCAAGAAGTCGACGCTTTCAGAACTTCTTCAATACCTCTCACTATTTGAGCCCGATAACCACCAATGCAAAAGTTTATCGTAGCCATGCCGACCGGGTCAAGCGCATTGTTACTGAGTCGTCTCCGCATCTCTTTCTGACCTGTTCGGAGGACGGAGAAGTTCGCCAATGGGATTTGCGACAGCCCTCATCGGCCTATCCCAAACCTCTGGGGGGTCAGGGCTACATGGCTTTTCGATCGGGACAGGATCACGATGATTCTAATGTGCCCCCTCCGCTGATTTCGTACAAGAAATACCGCCTGGACCTCAACACCATCTCATGCTCTCCTAGTCAACCACATTATATCGCGTTGGGCGGTGCTCATCTACATTGCTTCCTTCATGATCGGCGTATGTTGGGTCGGGACCTCATCGCTGAGAGGGGCGCATTAAGTACTTCTCCTGGGAGTAGTAGCCAAGGAGCAGATATTTTGGATGACGCGACGAAGTGCGTTCGCCGGTTCGCGCCCGATGGGCAGGATCGCATGAAGACTCGGGACGACGGCCATATTACAGCCTGCAAGATCAGTGACGCGAATCCGAATGAGATGGTGGTCAGCTGGTCGGGCGACCACATCTACAGCTTTGATCTCATCCGCAGCGCAGATGCGAGAGAAGCGAGATCGCGGCAATCATCAGTGCGCGCAACACCTGCACCACGGAAACGTCGATATAGCAAAAACCGCAAGCGAAAGCGACACAATGGCACGTCAATGTCATCCGACTCGAGTGGAAACCAGCCTCCCTCGCGACGTCGACCCAGAGACCGTCAGGATGAAGGCGAGTTAGCATTTCGCGTGCGCTATGGCAATGGAGAGTCAGAGGACATTCCTATCCCATCTCTGACGCAGCGTCGGGCTGAGGTCTCGGAAAGCTTACTCGAGCAATCGAGGCTGGCAGTGCTCAGTGACGCTCAAAGACTCAGCATGCGTATCGCTAAAGAACTAGTCAAGCTTCGCAAAGCACTTTTCTCGCTCGATACGTCAGCGCGTGAAGAACTTGAATTAGCCAGTGCAACAGATCTGGCACCATTTGGCGAGTCCTTTTCCACGGCATTGGGCCACGCGTCCATCTGTCTGCCGCAGATGAGTGAGGTCATGCGCACATGGGGCTATCCACTCAATCCTTCTTCAGATATGGTGCGCTTTCAGCAAACTCTGCGTCGTAACCGGGAATCCGCCTGGAGCTTTGTTCAGGCTGCAGGAACGATAGCTCGAGCTCTAGGAGGCGAGCTTCAGAATGCGCCTGGGGACGTGGACACCGAGATGGAGCAATTCCAACAATTATCGCCGCTGAAAGTTGAATACGCGCCCGATCGCAGAGAGCAATTTGGTTATGACTTCATCAAGGCTATCATACTATATGTGGAAGGAGGTCGAGAAGCTCTGCTGTCAGGCTTCAAGCGTGGTCCCATTCGTCGGGACACTCTCAGCAGGTTTCCTATCTCTGAAGCCGCGGATGACCGTGCGATTGAGTCAACCCTCATTCCTTATCTTCAGCGGCTAGCGGGAGAGGCCCCGGTGGTGAATGTTGATGCATCTAGGTTCGAACACGACGAGGCCCGTGTTCTTTTCGCGACGCAACGCGAAGCGGTAGCCGCCTTCGCCACCGCGATCAGATCGCCAGCTCAAAGCCCGGTTGACGGCGGAGCATCGAACGGGGCCACGCACGGCGGGGCAGCTTACAGGGCAAACTCTAACGAGACACCTACTCATGCCCTCGATTTGTTTCAGCTTACACAGTTCTGGGTGTTGAAGGTGGCTCGCGGCATACTCATGGAGAGCGGGACCGGCGTCAACTATGCTTTTGTTAACCGAGCCTTCGGTGGCTTTCGGGCCACGGTGACGCCTGGCTCTGAATCAGATATGGATCCGGAGAGGTCACAGAACGACCTGGAAACAAACATGGAAGAGGAACCTATCCGCGATGTACGGTTGAAAATACTCCGGGGCCAGCAACTCAGCAGAGAAGAATCCGATGACTGTACCAGCGAAGCGACCGAGTCAGTGTCGTCTCTACAGGGCATCCCAAGCTTTCCGGGGTGGTTGGACATGGGTACTGAAACCGAGAATGACTCGGAGGATGAAGAGGGCGGACTTGATGATGATGAGGACGATGATGAAAACGAGATTGACGACGACGACAATGATGATGAGGAGGAAGAGGATGAGGAGGATGAGTTTGACCTGGACTCCGATAGTCCAGTGAACGACAGCGATGACGACTCGGAGGCTGAAAGTCGCATGTTCAGGGAGTACGGGCTGCACCCCAGACAAAGAGAGTATGTGCACCTGGATGTTCCTTGTTCCTCACATACGCGCGTGTATCGCGGTCACTGCAATGTCAAGACAGTCAAAGATGTCAATTTCTACGGGTTGGACGATGAGTTTGTCGTTAGTGGAAGCGACTCGGGCCATATTTTTATTTGGGATCGGAAAACATGCAAGCTAGTCAACATACTAGAAGGCGACAGTGAGGTCGTCAATGTTGTCCAGGGTAGGTTTGCCGAAGATAGCAACCGTTGAAGCTTAGTGGTTAACGATCCTATGCAGGACATCCCTATGAGCCTACTATAGCCGCTTCCGGGATTGACAACACCATCAAGATTTTCTCACCCGACCGCCGTGCTCAGGATGATGCGCGCCGTGGAATCAACATCCTTGATCCTGATAACCCCGCCAATACGCTTGGGCCTAATGTGAGAGGGATTGGGGGGTTGGCCACTCGCAAACGCTTACATGACAGTTATCGAATCATGAATCAGAATGATGTTGATCGACAAGGCGGGATGAGCGAGGCGTCGATCACCGTACGTGCATTTCCTCGCGTCGGAGTGACCCTCATGCTGATACTTGTGCAGAGACATATGCTAGCCCGTCTGGCTACCACTTTGCGGGACCAACAGTACAATGTGGAGCCTGGTGGGGAAGGGGAACATGCTACCCTGGTTTTGGATGAGAACAGCTGTCATGTAAGTGAGAATAGTGTTGGCCGGATCGAACAGGAATTGATAGTTATGATGCCTGCAGGTGATGTGAATCGGTGGGTCTTGCCTAACTCTATGTCTCGGCCTACACGGTGGCCTCGAACCGGTCAGTTGGCTGGCGACATTTTCCTCCCCCTCTCTGTCTCCCTCGCTCTCTCTCTGGTCTTTTCTTCAAGTCTGATCCCCCTATCATCGTCTTACTTGGTATACGCAGTATTGTTGCCATGCAGCCTTTCGCAGCATGTAGCTTGGCTGTCAACATGCGTTCCATTACTGGAGATATTTCGGTACGAAAAGCAGTTAAAAACAAAAAATCACATCATCCTCTCCGAAGATACTTCAAGGATATGAAGTAGATCTCGTACAACGCATTAAGGCATTTAGTTCCATGTAAGTCACTCCTGTAGGCTCGCTCTATCTCCACGTGACCAGGACCTTATCGCTTCCCCGCATTTTCGGTCCCTCATCCTAAATTTTTCCTCCCCTTCGCCTCGCGAAATTGAGCGAACAGATCAGGATTCTCCTACAGTCAAAGATGCAAGCCCTGCAGGAACGAGCTGATACAACAACGAGGCTCTACGAAGAACCTCACAATCCACACCTTTACTATGAGCGAGGTCTCGTGCATGAGAAACTGGGATTTCCCGATCTAGCGTCGGCCGATGCGTACCGCGCACTATCTCTCCTCGACTCGGTCGTTGACCCGGACGGCAGCGAATTCCACGCTCGACGCAGGATTCAAGATTCTCCGGAGACCACAGAGTCAAAGGCTCGCGAAAGTAGCGACGACGACGACGACGACGATGATGATGACCAGTTCACTCCACTTACGCAGTCCGAATACGATGCCCTCATTCACCCCGTCTATGCCTTATTAGTCCGCTCTCTCGTCAGCTGTGGCTGCTTCCGTGACGCCTATGAATTCTGTGCACGGGGATTGAGTAGTATTGGTAGCACTAGCGACAACCAGATCGCCTCAGACCGTGAAGCCCACGCCACCTTAGCGGCACAACTGGCGAAATTGCAACGGGAGTTCGCCCGCCGACGCAACCTCCCTTCCTCTACCACGGAGATTGTGATTGACGATCCCAGCGTCCTGCCGGCGCAGGGACTTGCCCGCCGCGTTCTCTACCCCTGGAACACGCACGAACCCGACCGCAAATCCCCCGAGACTCTGGCCCTCCTGAACGAGAAGTTACGGACGGTGGCGCCCAAGTGCGAGGTCCGGGCTGTCGCGTTACCGGCGCTGCACTCTATCACGACCGCCACCAAGCCGAACCCCTCCTCCTCCTCCTCCGAACAAGACCAAGAACAAGAGCAGCAAGAAGAAGTCAGCATCCAACTGGGCCTCTTCGCCAAGGAAGACATCCACCCCGGCGAAACCATCCTCCGCGAAAACTCGCTGTTGACCGCTACCAACCGCCTCCACGACGACCTGTGCGACGCCTGCAATGGCCCGCTCCCCGAGCTCTCGGCCGACGACCCGCCCGTGGCGTGCGCCAACGGCTGCGACGACACGATCTTCTGCTCGCTGGCCTGCCACGACCAAGCCCAGCAGGTCTACCACGGGGCCGTGTGCGGGCTGATGGAGAATCTCGAGTCCATCGGCAAGGACATCCCCGACCCGAAGGACAAGGCCGACTACCTGTATCTGCTGCTGCTGGGGCGGGCGCTGGCGATGGCGGCGACGCAGGAGGTGCATCCGCTGGAGTTGGGGGAGGTGAAGTTCATCTGGGGCGATTTCGTGAATTTTGACATTGACCTGCTGGATCACGGCGATACTGCTGCTGCTGCTGCTGCTACTGAAGATGGCACCCTCCCCTTCTCCTTCCAGCTCAACATTCTCCAGCCCATGCGCCTCCTCGAGGAGATGGAGATCGACCCTTACGCCAACCTCCGCCACTACGACACCTGGGTCCTCAACACCCTGTACGCCAAGTTCCGGGGCACCGCCTCCGGCCGCCTCTCCACCTGGGACGGCGGGCCCGAGCTCTGCGCCGTCCACCCCCTCTGGTGTCTGGCCAACCACTCGTGCGACCCCAATGTCCGCTGGGAGTGGGGCGGCGAGATCACCTTCGTCGCCCGGGCGGAGGCCGAGCGCGCCGCGTGGAATCTGCCCTCCGGTGCAATCAACTCTGAGGCGGAGGCGGAGGCCGCGCCCAAGTGCAGGCGGGTCGGAGCGGGGATCAAGAAGGACGAGGAGATCCTGAACCATTACTGTGATATCGGGCTGGGGGTCAAGGATCGTCGGGAGTGGGCCCGCGGCGCCCTGGGCGGGTTCTGTCTGTGTGAGCGGTGTCGGTTGGAGGCCGGGGAGATGTGATGTCCTATTTTTCGTGTCTTGTGCATTGCGTGTACATGTGATGGGGTGGTAGGAAGGGCGAGGGGTCCCTGTGCTTTATAGATTGCGGTGATTAGAGATCGATTTGAGATACCCCGGGTGGTGAGATATATACATACACAACAAGCTAAATATATTTAAGTGGGCAGGACAGCTGGCAGAGCTATTTAGCTGCCGTACGTTTGGTTTGCTGTATGTTTGTCCTATGCAGAAAGTCTGAATGAATTAATCATATCTTAGAGAGAGTATTGAACATAACCAAGGCCTGGATGTTTTGTCTTGTGGATCGCTTCAAACTAGATACAACTATAGGGAATGCCCCCTGATGATATAACCTTAAACCCATCCCGTCCCGATTCATCCCATAACAAACACAACAGCCGCGAAATGAAAATCACATTTTGGAGTCTGCCCTAGTGACCCTTTGAGCAAGGATTTCACTCATCGATGTATGTATGCACTACTAGTCACGGGCTCGGCGGGGTGGAGTCTGCGAGGGCGATGCACGGCGGCGCACGGGCGACCGCGAAGGGGACCGTGAATCCGAGTACCGTCTCCGACCTCCTCCTCCGGCCCGCGGTGGTGGTGCCGGCGAGCGGGACGCGCTCGCGTCGCGACCCCGACGGATGGGCGCAGGCGGCCGCCGCGCCGACACCGACACCGACACAGACCGGGTCCGAGACCGAGACCGAGACCGAGACCGAGACCGAGACCGCGAGACGCTCCTGGCAACCCGCCTGCGGGGAGGAGAAGGCGATCGTGCTTCGGAATACCGGCGGGCCCCAGCACGGGCGGGGGGCGCGCCGCGGCGCGCAGGGGGCGGGCTCACGGACCGAGGGGGCGATCGGCTGTAACTGCGATCGCGGCGAGGGGGCGCTGGACCGCTGCCGCCCTGTTTGCGGGGTGGCGTGACCGAGCGGGATAGGGAACGGGCTCGTCGAGTTGGGTAGGGACTCACACTCCGACGAGGGGAGCGGGAATCGTAGGAGCGATCCCGGCCCCGGCGAGGAGGGGGGCTCCGCGACACGGATGAGCGTTTGCGGGGCACAGGCGATCGCGACCGAGACCGGCTGTATGAGACTGAACGGCGGCGGTTCTTGGAGACCGGCGAGCGAGACCGCGACGGCGTGTAGCTGTCGCTTCGGCGGGACGAGCCCGACACAGAGCGGCTGTAGGACCGGCCCCGACTGACGGAGCGTCTGCGGCCGCGGCTCGGCGAAGGGGAGCGGGAGTAGGAGTAGGAGCGGGAGCGGGAGCGGGAGCGGGGCGAGCAAGTCGAGCAGCTGGTGGGGTGCGATGAGACGGAATCCCCGTCGGACTCGTCGCCTCCATCGCGTTGAGGCAAGGCAGGGATGGTGGGCTTGGGCAGGTTCTTCAGATGCTCGCGCATGTCTTCCGTCAAAATACCCATACCGATACTGGTGAAGTAGTTGATCGAGAAGCGGGTGTTGCGTGGGTTGTCCGTCGGGAACATACCCTCGAAGCTGGGGCGCAGAATCTCGTCGCGCATGCGTTCTTGCAGTTTGGGCAACCCCATATGCTCGGCCAGGTCCTGGAACAAGATCTTGATGAAAATACGGCTACTGGACGTCGTTTCTTCTTCATTCATGTGAATGATGGACATCACATGCCACCCGATGGCATCGGTGCTGATCATGTGACCGAAGAAGCGGGCGATGTTGCGAAGTCGGTTGGTTTCGTATCGGTGGATCGTGTCGTAGTATTTGGCAAATGAGGTCTCAAAGAGGTCGGACCAGAAGCGGTTGATCTTGGCGAATCTCTCACCGATCAAGCCGTAGAATTTGGAATAGGTGCGCTCCTGGGAGCAGCACTCGATGACCATCGATGGAAGCTCGGACTCGAGACCCGTGGGTAGGGAGATCTTCATCAGCTTGTGGCAACATTCCTCGAAATCTATACTGGACATGATAGTCAGGTAAATCGTTCTCCGGAGGTTGACAAGGTCTGCGTTGGTTTGATCCTTGATGTCCATCTTCCGCTCTTCTTCCGACTCTTCATCCGAGCTGTCATCATCCTCGTCCTCATCCTCGTCCTCTTCATCATCGCTGCCTTCTCCTAGGATATCCGCCTTCAGCTTCTTGTAGGCCTCTTCGTGCTCCTCCCATTGCGCATCGTACTTGAAAATGTTCAGACCGTCCTGGGTCTCGATCTCATCGTCAAGACCAAGCTGGTGTGTGATCTGATCTTCTTCTTCAATAAGATCCAACTCCTCCTTGATCGCCGGGTTGTCCTTGTATCTGTCCTTGCGAACCTGGAACAGCACCTCGATCATATACTGCACACGCTTATCGATATCCGCCTCGTGAAGAATATTGCGGAATTGATCGAACACCGCGAGCGCAATGGGCCCGCTCATCTCCTCCAGATGCTGGCCAACTTCCCGTGTAAGTCCAACCGCAATCTCAACACTGTCGTCCGTCGGCTTGTGGAGCAAGAGAAGGAGGATCTGGGCAGCCAGCATCTCGTGGGCAACCTGCTGGTTGCACAGATGGGCGATGAAGGTGGTAGAGGATATGCAGACAGCCTTGTCGTTTCGTTTGAAGGCCTTGCGGAACTGTACGATCAGCCGGTTGAGCAGGAGCTCTCCGACCTGCGGCAGCTTTGTGTTGACGATGGCAGCCATGGCAGCGTAGATGGGCGTGAAGGGCAAACTGGCAGCCTGAGCTTTCATGATGCTCCTGCAGAACAGACCGCGGCCGCGCACCAGGTTCTCACCGAACAGCTCCGGGACAATATGCTTGATGTTGGAAACGTTGACCTTGTTGATCAGACCATTGATCGACTTCTTCAAAGCCTCCCATGCCATCCGCTGATATTCCTTGCTGGTCTTATCGGTAATCTGTGCCTGCAGCGCACGGAGTCGAGCGGGAGGAATGTAGGTACCGCCCGACCGCATGTTCAAAAGCTTCTCATACTCGGCTTTGGCAGCCGCCTGCTTCTCCTCTTCCGTCATCGGCTTCCTCGCGGCCGCTTCCTGTTTCTCATGCTGTCGAACGCGCTCCGCAAGCTGACGCTCTCGTTCGATGGCGCGCTCCGGGTCGATGCGCGGCGCCTCGAGGCCGCCATCGTGCGAGTCACCTGGTGGCGAGCGGCGACGGTTGGGTGAAGGAGATCGAGAGGGAGGTGAGCGTTTGCGAGATGCTGAAGGTTGGGAAGAGTAGGAGGCGTCTGGCGGCGGAGTCGGCACTCGCACCGCAGACTGCAACACAACGGGATCCGTCATCCTTCGTTCGAGGTCAAAATCCAGGATTGCCCTGACAGTGGTGGTGAACCCGCGGGATAACACAACGTTGGTCGGAGCTCTCGTGATGGGCGGCGGCGAAAGAAGGGAAAGGAAGTCTTAGCGCGGCCCCCGTCGCGATCACGTGAGCGCGGTTGGAGCCAGGCTGGCGCCCGGCCGCGGGCTTGTCTCCCAGTCTCTCTGCCATGCGATTAGGAGCCCATCCTCATTTATCCGTCATCCTTCTGCGTTTCTCGGTCTCCCTTCATACACCCTCGCGGCTCCTTAATTGATCATCATTATGGTATGTGATGCGTGGTTCTACATCTGCTGAGCAATTCATGAGATGGCAGTCACTTACACTGAGCAGCTGGGCACTCTTGTCGGATCCGCCATGCTTCTGGTCGCGACCGCGATCTTCCTTTACTATACCACGTGGACTCTGTTGATGGTATGCTTGCTTCCTCTCCCTCCTCACAGCATAGCTTTGCATAATTGCTGACAACTCGTTAGCCCTTTGTTGATCCCGGCCACCCTCTCCACGACCTCTTCCCTCCGCGTGTTTGGGCCATCCGTATCCCCGTCTTTCTCACTCTGCTTGGTTCCGCTGTGGTCGGTACCTTCATAGGCATTGTGATGATCAACAGCAACAAGAAGAAGGCTGCCAAGGCACAGGCAGCTGCTGCGAAGAAGAAGACTTGAGATCTGATATCGTGGGACTGGAGACTACGTGGCATTAATTGTATTCGGTTGTACTTATATTCTCCGCGATGTTGGCAATACAATTTGAATTAGAGTGGAGTTTTGCCCTAGGGCTTGCGCTCCAGGCAGGCTTCATGGTAGGCTTCATGGTTAGTTCTCTCCAAAATAGAGCCATGGGTGGTGAAAGGCCAATGCAAGCTATTTGCGAGGGGGGGGGGTAGTCCCATACTGGATGCTAGCCCACAGCTGGTCATCTCAGTCTGGGGCAAGTGGTGAGCACATTGTGGGGATCCTGTAACCGAGTAATTGTTTGCCATGGAGTTGCGTAGTGCTGCTCAGGCCTAGGGAGCTTTGAAGTCAACGCGTTAGCCCAACATTTGTAGCTCTTTTGCCCGTATACCATGCATAAAAAGTGGAGCCAAGTGAACTATTATCACGTGCTCAAAGCTGGGGTTCTTTATAACGGCACGTCAATAAAATACAATAGAATGCAATCACCGTATCTCGACTTGCTGAACTTAATCCCCCGATACGTTGAGTGCAATCGCCAACCGTGACTTCGTGGCCAGGTCCCCAGCCTTACGGGTCTAGACATCAGGGCAGAAACATTGCACTACCTTTCAAGGTAGGTCTAGATGCCATCCATGAACAGGGCTGTAGAATGGCATAAGCACCAAACAAAGCAAGGCAACCTCAAGCCTGCACCGATGAAACATGCTTAGCTCAATTAGCTCGTACAGTCCGTTGTTACTGGTCTCATAGACTCCTTGTAACATTAGTCTCGCAGTGTATCGGTCATAACCATGCAGTATTGCAGGCATCCTGACTCCGCATTGGCCCAGAAGCGGGAAGGTTCTTATGATAGAGCAGCATGATGTGGGCTCATCTCAACACAACCTTGCTGGACAGCCCGTTGTCTTTGTTACTTTACGGCTGGATACTATCTGCGTATATCGAAGCATCCTCTCGGGCAGCTAACAGGGGGGTTTGCTGTGATTATCACTCAACTGACGCCAAAAGACTTGATAAAAAACAGTAAGATTGGGCCGAGGGGTCGACAACAGTCTATAATCTACCGCGCTTATATTAACCCCGAGATCGCCTGATATATGTGGGATTGGAGTCCCTCATATTAGGCAAACAGATCCGTCAAGATTGAGTGAGCTACAGCGGAGCTCAGATCGCTGGCTCATGTCCGAGACTTCCATCTCGAGGGCAAACGAGTATGGGCTGCAGTGGAAACTGTCAAGGCGTTGTCAAATCGCGAAAGAACACCGTATGACTGACTCCGCTTCATGAACATGTTGGTAAACAACCTATCGCAGAACCCGCTGTCCCACAAGGTCAAAGAAAGACGGACTCTGTCATTATGAGCGGTGGATGATCTGAGGACCCAATTGGTATATGAAACAGATATTCATTGTACTGCTCCGTACGTGGGCTCAAAACGCATGGAACAACCTTTTTCAGAGGCTCTTGTGGCCATTGGATAAATCCCAATGTTGACACCAATGACTGAAAGGGCACGCCATCAGATGACTTGGATCTCGTTACTAAGCCGGAGAATGAATGCTCTGAAACGCACGAATGCAAACTGCTGCCCGAGGCAAGTCTGGCAACAAAATGGCATCATTGTTGAACGATAACATTTTCATCCTCAGTTTAAATGAGATTCCGACTTCCCTGCCAGCCCAGCTGCATTCCTCAGGTCCCCCTGCAAGCCAACCGCGTGGTAATGGAAGTAGCACCGATGACGAGCAGTGCGATCATTCGACGAAGAGAGATCCTTGGATACGGCAGGTCACAGGTGAGGCGCTGCTGGCTTCCCAGGGATTCAGGAGAGACCTGCCCAAAGAGGGTGTGGGTAATGTCATGTTGACATTTCGAGAGACATTGGTCATATCTCAAGTTATATGAGAGCGAACACCGGGGAATGGGCAGCCACCACGTAAGATTTCAGTCACAGCCCTGTGAGGGATTGAGAGAGAGGAGGGGGACGTGCCAATGACCGACGGGGGCCTTACAGATGATGGCAGTGCAGCAGCTTAGCTTGGAGGCGGGGTCCCCGTGACTTGAAGGGCGAAGGGTCAATGACCCGACCGCCTTTTCAAGTTCTTCCCCACCCCCCGCGGAATAGTTGGGCCCGACCGGGGAATGCCCCTCACCATACTCAGCCACCAGCCACCAGCTGAAGTCCAATACCTCAAGAGTCTCAAGTCCCTCTCATGCGGATCCACTGGAACCTGGAAGATAAGGGGGATACAGGCAAGGACTGTTCCAGTCCATCCATGGTCAACAACACATGCACAGGTGGTGATGGCTATTTGGCTGCATCATTCGCCATCTATCACGTGACTCCGAGGGACCCGCGTTTCGGCGCGTCGGGCTTGCAGTGTTTGTCGGGTTTGCAAAGGGCGCAATGCATTGATTATTACCCCTCATGCGGGCGTTGCACTGGGGAGGACCACTGGGGAGGACCACTGGAGTCCGATCCGTGTATCTATTGATTGTCCTGCTTCATACCGGTACAGTGGGGAAAGGTGTATGGATCAACAGAATACTGTACGGTATGGTAATTGCAGATCATTGACTAACCACAAGGAGAACCCGATCAGGCAGCCAGATAGGTGAGAGTGAGAGAGAGGTTGAGATTGGCAGAGAATCCAGTACGCTATCGATAAAGTGGAATCTCTCTGAGAGGTCTCCCGGGTTCCTTCGTGACTTGACCAGCTTGCGTCATGTTAGGACGGTCATACCTAGACTTTCAATCTTTAGTAGTGTATACATGCCTACGAACTAATAACCAATGATCATTTGCTCCGCGTCATGTGGTGAGTCGGTCGGGAACCTTACGGACAGACTGAGTGTAGCTAGTGTACTAGGTACAGTACTAGGTACAGTACACTATGTATGTACGTAGTTACCGGCAGTAAACTATAGTAACTACCACTTTGGTAGACTTTGGTAGTTACTGATAGGAGATAAGTTTACTAACCATGGAGATGTCATCCATGCTCCTGACCCTGACCCGGTTCCCCTCCCCCTCCTTTCCCTCCTCCTCCCTATTTCCCTTCCCTCCGGATGATAACATCTTCTCTTCCTCATTCTACCTACTGTGATATCATTGCTACTTGTCTACCACTTGCTTCAGCCTCATATTTAACATAACTTCGATATCGTGGACAGACGGTTACAGCTGTGCTGCCGAGCTGTCCTGTATCTCAGATCTACTATCTACCGGTGTATCAGTGAACGGGTCCCCGCTCTAGATACGTTGCTGGTCGCGGCTTGTCGTTGCAGCTGCGACAACCCGACACGCTTCTTACGCGTCTTTGACCTCGAGTACATTTGCATCCGATACACTTCCTTCGTAAGTAGTCTCCTGAAGCGCTTGAACATTCCTGTCTGTCGATGAGTCATGAGTCATGCTGATAAGCGTTTGTTGACCTTCGCAGCGTTGCCTCCCAAAGGCTTTCTCTACCACCCTCCAGACCCGGCCTGAGCGCGTTTTTCGTTGCAGGTCAACCATATTGTCAGACCCGTTCTCAGACCTTGCTAAGGCCTCTGAGAGCGGTCACCTTCTCCAAACATACTGCCTCTTAGCAGGCAGACTCTCCATTTGAATGCCACCGGCAGCTTCGGACGATTTGTTTCGCCAGCAGAGCCGGTCCCCAGGCGACACCATTCCTCCCGAAGATAATACCCGCTTGAATCTGGAGCATGAACTCGGGGGGAAGAGCAAGAAGAAAGGAAAAAGCGGATCAAAGGCCAAGGCTAAAGCGGCGAAAGCAGCGGCCAAGTCCTCACCGGGCGACCTGTAAGTCCGACATTATCAAGCATAAGTTACTGTACCGCATGAAACAAAGCTAACAATGTATCGACCTTGTGGTCTACGCTACAGAGAGGAACTCTCACCACCTCTGCTGGCAGAGCCGTCGTCTTGTCCAAATCCTACATTAAAGCCTCCGACTAGTCACAATATCGTGTCCCCCGTTCTCGACGCCCTGGACTCTTTGGGAGATTCCCCGGAGAATGATGTCACCTACCGGACGGATACCTGGGCCAAGTCTATCCCTTTCGGCAAAAGCCCCCCTACTGACGTGACAGATGGTGAATTTGCTAGCGGATCACCGTTTGGGTTTCTCACAAGTCACGATAAAGGCGGGTTCAGCCAGCCTTCATCGGCCTCGCCTTCCAGCAGGACAAGGCCTCTAAGCTATGGACATGGTTACTCTACTAGTAATACGTCCAGGCAGCCGTCTGCAGACCGGCACAAGAGCAACCCTGTCAGCAGCCCATTCAACAACCAGATACCCTTGCCCCATTTGCCACAGGCCCACTTTTACGGCGCACCAGATATCGAGTTACCCGTGTCGTCTGCACAAAGTAGGCCGATCAGTGATGGGGGCTACTCTTTCTGTGCCTTTGATACAATTTTGAGCCAGTGGTTCAAGGCGTCTAGGATAGGGAGCAACGTCCTTCTTGTCGGTACAGACGGTGCTCTAGATATTCTTGCCATAGAAGATCAGAAGACTCGCCTGGTGGGCAAGCTAACGGGCCTGAATGGTCGGGTGATCGAGGCCAAGTTGCTGACCAGTACCTCGGCGAATGACCCTAACTCCGCATCCAGACCACATATTGCCGTCATCACTCATGGGCCCTGTTCTGTACCCGATGATGAGGGCCACGCCTCCTCTACCGGGTCCGAAACAAACGAGATCCCAGCTGGTCGACCGTCAATCTCTGGTGGTCGTATCATCAAGGACGAATTGAAATATTATCAAACAAGAGCCGATGTCTATTCTCTTAGAAATGGAGAGCACATTACAACGCTTCTGACGACACCACCGGTCCAGTGCTTTGGCAATATTCCAGGAATGCCGTCGTTGGCCCCGCCGCCTGTGGGCAACCTGAAGCTTTATGCTAGTGGCAGTTACGTTGTTGTGGCATCCGGGTCGAGTGGAGAAGTCTACACTTACGGCATAGGCAGGTATCAGTGTCTCGGCAAGATGTGGACGAGTATCCAGACAAAAGACTCTCGACGGTACTCGACCTCCTCTAGTTCCACTGATCCAGATGGTTCGCAGTCCGACTCACCTCACGGACCTCCCAACCATGACAGTCCAATCATATCTCTCAGAGGAAGGTGGCTGGCCACGGTCCCGCCATCTACCACTTACAGAGCATCTCTTCGTGCAACGGTTCCTGCACCTCTCCTACAGAGAAAGACTATTGGACTTGAGACTCGTAGCCCGCCGTCCCGGCCAGTAATAACATGCGCTACTGACGTCGGCGAGGGTGAGAGCTTCTTTGGCAAAGTCGCCCGAGGCGTGACACAAGAGCTTATGCGTGGTGCTCGCTGGATGGGTGATCAGGGACTGCAAGCTTGGAACAATTACTGGAACAAAGAACAGGCACAAAGCGGTTCAACACGTCGATCCCCCAGCCTGATGGATTTTCCATCGCAGGGCTACAACATCTTCCCCCCCACGCACTCTCAGGAAACCCAGACCGCATCCCCTGCGGAGCCGGATCTAGTTTCAGTGACGGACTTGCAAAGACTAGAAGAGGTCACCGAGACAAAGAACGCTTTGTTCGGTTCCATGACAACATTTCAAGTGCCCAATGGCTGTAGCTTTCTTTCCTTCTCTCCCAATGGCTTGATGTTGCTTACGGTGAGTAAGAAGGGAGACGTTCAGTATGTTTGGGATCTTCTGCAGGCGAAGTATTGCCGGGCAGGGGCTCTACTCTCCGACGACCCCACATCTGCGCAACCGAGCGTGCGGCAGGTCGCAAGGTTTTCGCGGTTGACAGCATCTCGCATCATCGACGTGGTATGGTGTCCTCCATCCGGCGACAAACTCGCAATTATCACCAGTAAGCCCACGGTGCATGTGTTCGACCTGCCACGATCCGCCTTCCAGTGGCCTCCTTTCCGTCGAGCTAGACCACAGCCTACCAAGGCCCCTACCAATGATCTTCCAGCTGAGGAGCTCTCTGACCGGGCGGCCGCCGCAAATCCCTTGTCAGCAGCCTTCAAAATGGTTGGAGGTAAGACACAACCCATCCTCGCCGCAGTAAGGGGCCGTGCACCATCGACTGGTGCGGCCTTCAACTCGATGGGTGGATTCACGATTCCTTCTACTGCCGGTGTTAGTGGCAAGGCCGTTGCCGCTGGTCTGAGCAAATCAATGGGAGCTGCCGCGACCGGCACGGTCAAAACGGTCAATACATTTCGACATGGTGGTGAGCATCGCCTGCATCTGTCCGGGATCTCCCGTGACCCGGTTGCATCCCGTGTAACCTGGGTAACCAGCAAAGGCCTGCCCTTCCTGGGGCTTCTAGATGGAGGGTTCTTCCGCCTATATCGAATTAAGCGCTCGGTGTCCGCCAATCGGAATCGGCAGCTGCAGTCAGCGATTGGAGAAAAGGCATTGGAATTTCGACTACCTCCAATTCTGCAGACACCTTGCGGCCCTCTGACCGTTGGGACTCTCGGAGCAGAAACCAACGTCTGGGCTACACTGGCTTTGCCCTCTTCCACTGCCCGTCCCCCAGCGTCATCGAAGCTCATGTCTCAGCCCCTCTCGCAGGCAGAAATTGAGACCAACACACCATATCAGCCTTTCCACACCGACCAGAGGGTAAACCTTTTTGTTTATTCCGAAACGAATGACGCAGAAACATCGGTCCCGACTGGTCAGTGGGTCTTTGGAGGCTCTTTGCCGACGTCTAAGCTCCACGTCCGTCCCTTCAGCTCCCACAGTGAAGACGATGAAGACGACATGATGCAGGAGCACCACCAGGGCTTCGGTGGGGAGATGGAAAATTTGATCAGCCTCGGGAACAGTACCGGAAACGTTGAAGAAGTGGTAATCACAACTCGCCGGAAGAAGAAAGCAACTTCAGCCTTGGCCTCGGGCAATGGAGTTGACGACGGATTCTTCGAGGATGACTGTGAAGTCCTGGATTTTGCGCGAGACCGGGTCTGACATCAAAATTGGCCGAACATCATATTTTGGAGAGGCATCTTCATGATTGGACTAATCTACAAGTATCTAGACATTACATTGGAATGGGCGTTGGCGTGTTTGGGATTTTGATTTCCACTCTTCTCCGCTTTTACTAATGCCCATTGCATATTACCCTATAGCATTACCATCCACGCCTGCACCAGAGTCAACGATCCTTTGCTGCTCAGGGGATATGAACAATCTGGATGGCAGGACCATTGAACAAAGTCGGGCGCTGGATTCAATCATTGCATCCATATGAACGCATGCTGCTCTTCTTCCGGCGCCCTGTCTGCTCCTCTCGCGAGGTAACACTGCATTATGAATTGTGTTTCATACTCAATACTGTACTTCAAATCAAATAGATAAGAACTCTGTTCGGGCACTGACTTTTGTATACGTGTTGCAAGCGGCGATCGACTGTACCTGAAGAGTTTTTATTTTGTGTTGATACTTTTGAGGTCGTTTCATGGAATGACAAACCTTAATCATCCTTGTACCTGAAGAATGCGGGGGAAGCTCGTGTGGAGAGATGTGTAAGTAGTCACCAAATCAACCACCTATGATGAGTGGCAACACTATCACAGCAGTGGAGTCGAGCTGTGTGTAGACCCATTCATGATCGACACCGACTAAACCGATCCACTGCAGATTGGGATACCCGTGACGCTACAGCCACCTGCCTGCCTACCTGCACTTGTGGTCATCGCTCGTCATTTGTGAACTGTCCATACTTTTCACCCGCCTGGTCTTCCTGCTGTGCAGGAAGTGATGAAGTCATGATGGGGTTGGGACTACAGCACAGCACAGCACCTGATTCTTGGAGGCTAATGGGTAGGCGTTCGACCTTTTCCCACCTGGAAATAAACATCGTTATGGTACAAAGAACGGTATTTATATAGGGAAAGGCAAGATAGGACAAACTGCGACACAGATATGATTGTTATACAATAATACTAGTAGTTCTTGCTAAGTGAAGCGCTTGTGGGTAGTATTAGTGACAGACAAATCAAGGTAGTAAGCTATTATGACAACATCAATGAAGTGTGTGTGCAAGAGTAGAAGTAAAAAAGCAAAGGCTGTGTGTGTGTGAAGTGTGATATCCCATTAGCGTGCAACAAAGAACTGTGATTCATGTTTCCCTTCCTGCCCGCCCTCATTCATTCAATTTCCCATATGTACTGAGACAAAAACGTTTGTGTGTGCCGTTTGATTAGATTTAGGCTTGTGTGATATCTCGTCCCGTCTATTTACAGAACGGGGGAGATTTACAGAGCCCAGGCGGCGAGCACGAAGCCCAGGAGACCAACGGTGGAGACACCCATCTTCAGCTGAGTGATGGCGGCCGAGTTGGAGGTCTCGCTGGAGGAGGCGCCGGTGCTGGTGGCGGTGCTGGTCGAGTCCGAGGAGCCGGACTCTGTTTTGAGGTTGTTAGTGTCATGGGTTCAGGTAATGCGGCGATGCCACCAGGGAAGATAAAGAGCGGGGAAGATGGATAACGCACTGCTGGAACCGGTGGAGGAGGACTTGCTGCCGCTGCCGGTTGTGGTGGTACCATCGTTGGAGCTGGCGGTGCTGGCGGAGGAGCCGGCGGTGGCAGTAGCGCTGGACCAAAAGTAGCTGCTCACGCAACGGCTCTGGCAGCTGGCGTAGGCGTCGGTGTCGCTGGTGGACCCGTTACCCTGGGGGCAGGCGGCAACGCAGCTGGTGGTGTCGTTGGCCTGAGAGTCGTTGGGGCACGGGACATTGTAGCACTTGGCAATGCAGCAGATGTCGCTCGAGGCGCCTGTATAGTGGATTAGAATGTGGTGGTCTTATGGCTTGGTTCTGCAATCAAGGATGACGGGAGGATGATGGTTATAGAGGTAGGTAGATGCGCATAAATGGCGATGGGAGGTAGAAGGAGATGGTTCGAGTAGAGATGTATACGTACAGGACTCGGCGCACTTGGCCTGAGCAGTGAGACTGGCAGTCGCGGTGGCAGCGGTGGCAGTGGAGGTGGAGTTGGTGTCCTGGGCCACGGCGAGCACCAGGAGTGAGGAGAGAGCGAGAGCGCTGTTGAACTTCATCTTGACGGTTGAGCTGATTGATGTAGAGACAGACGTTAAGTGTACTTTTTGAGAGCCCGAAAGAAGCGAGTAACGAGCGAGCGCAAAGTATGGAATAACGAAAGACTATTGAGGAGGAAGAGAAGGAGAAAGAGAGGAAAAGAAGAGGAGAGAGAGGAAGAGGAAGAAGAAGAAGAAGAAGAAGATAGAAGTACTCCGTAATTTGTTTGAGAAAGTAGGCAAAAAAGGAAAAACAAAACAGTGGCGGGAAATTGAATCTAGTGCCTGTTCAGTTAATTCGATTGATTCATTCATTCATTCATTCACCAGCAACTCAAGTGATTAGCGGGGTTTCAGCCAGTGGTTGGCCTCCTTTGCATCCAGTGGCACGACTCTTTTAGCAACAACCTGGTTAAGATGCGCTGTTCGGCCTCACCCGATTTGCCAACTACCTGACAGACGGATTCACTGATTCACTGATTCACTGATTGACTGAACTGATTAGTCCTGCTCAGTCCTGCGCACCCTTACATTACTGGCAATTTCGACGGCCCCATGCTTGCTTCTCACCCCCCCCCTCCCCCCAAGTCTGTCTTTTTGCTTGTCCTTACTATCTGAAATAAATCCACAAAAATTCTTCTTTCAAATAATTGACTGACCTCTTGATAGAAAGACTAGATTCAGTGACGGAAGTGGCCCCGAATCCGCGAACAGATCTAAAAGAAGTCCGACTCAAAACTCCACTTCGAGTCCACTTTTCCCTCACTCAAAGTCAAAGGAGACACTTTCCCGGTGAAGCGCGAAGGGTGAACAGACCCTTGGGAAATCTGGGGACTCCAAGCAGCTCCAAGAGGGATCGGCCCCAAAAATAACCCTGGAGTGGCACTACCGTCGCTATTAGTCTGACTTTAGCCCTCCTTAGTCTCGTTCTGCGTCCACCCATCGCTCAAAGCTCTTATCCGCCTTCTTCGCTGGCTGCTCCACACCCAGGGAGAAAACTGGGCGCTGATAAGCCCGGCTCGCTCTTCGCTTGGCTAATTCAAGCCAGAACAATGAGCTGATTGATTGCTCGTGGCAGTGGCAGTGGCAGTGGCAGTGAGTAAAGGTCATGCGGAAAGGTCTGTCAAATCTCTCTGGAGTGCAGAGTGCAGCCTGCAGCCTGCATAGTGCAGAGATCCTAATAATAATCTTACAGTGTAGTCTCCTGACGAGCAACCACAAGACTGCTCACAAAAGAAAAGGGCGCTTGCTCGGAACCATGAAGGTCATGGGTGATTAAAGTTCCGTGGCTGCAACACTACGGATCGCTCCTGGTCTCCATTACCCCAAAACCCCCAGATTGATTGGAGCTGCCGTCCCTCATCCCTACAGAATATTGAACCCGGTGTTACACCACAGGATCTTCAGGTGCTGCCTGACCAAGTTATCAAATCCTGAGTTTCCCCGGACATGGCACACTCTCACGCATCAACGTTTCGATCTTCTACTCCGTATGCTTCTAAGTGTGGTGGCAATTGGAAAGTGCCAAAGTACTCGGTACAGCGTGACTAGTTAGCTTGGTCTGACTTAATGACTTAGTACTGAAAGTTCCAAGGCAACTAACTGCCTTGTCCGCCATTGTGGCTCGTGCTTTTCTTATCTTCTTGTTTTGTGTTGTTTGTGGTTGTTTTAGTGAGCACGCTAAATGGATAATCCACCCCAAGTTGGCTCCCTTGATTCAATAATATAGCCCAGAACATGAATGTGAAATTGTGAAGACACAATGGAAGTTTCTGGCATTCAGTAGATAATAGATTATTGTAAAAACCATCTATCCCACTCGTGGCCATCGCTTGTGGTCAAAGAGACTGGCGAAGTTCCACAACATGAGTGGGTTGTGTATATGCGACCTCGGTCAAGTGGATCTGACTCTGATGACAGTCCAAGAGCACAATGGCCAGAGCACCTCACAAGTGGTATCTTAACACGGTTTGCCTCAGAACAAGATGAGGTTTTCGTCTTCAGAGCTGAGTCTTTCCGCTGAATTGAAATTGAGCGGAGGACGAGCGGTTACGCCAAATTAGGAAATCATGAGGATTTCATGACTAAGCCAACATGTGATTGCGATCCGACGCGTCGCGTCATGAACATGGCCAGCGCAAACCTGCAGCGGCTTTGATTCCCAACGAACCACGTTGGGTTCGATATGTCTGACCTGGAAGGGGGCTCTTCCGACTATCATGATGATGATCTCGGGGATTTCGTTGTTGACGATGACTCTGATGCCGCAGCCACGCCGACCGAACGGAGTTCTCCCAGGCCGGCCAAGCGCCGTCGCCTGAAAGCCAACAAGCAGAACCTATCACTGCGAAAGAATCAACATGACCGACGTGACACGCGAGAGACCTCACATTATTCTAGCGAAGGCGAGGACAAGGAGCTACACTCTCCAGAGCGATCATCACATTACTTCCGTGATTCCGAGGAGCCGGAGGCGTATTCCAAGTATAAACTGTTCGTGCCCAAGAACAGAAATGTTCAGGAGAACATCTTCGTCACCCAACTCACGCAACCTCAATCGCCTCCAGAGATGATCCGAGGCCCGCGATGGAAGAAGCCGGACCCAGAGTTACCTCCCCCGATGAACGTTCCGGCAACACACGCAGTGAGCGGAAGAGGCGAGTGTGATGGGACAAATGATGAATTTGACGACGATGACGCCCTAAAGGCGGCCATTGAGGCTTCGTTGCAATCTTTCGAAGAAGAAAGCTCCAAAGAGTCTCACAAGACAGCTTCTGATCACTTGAGGCCTCCACCGTTGGATTGCTTTTCGAGTGAACAGACAGGCGAAGCCATGGATATTCCCGCAGAATTTCTAGACGATATACCGGACGATGCCTTTGACTCCGATCTATCCTTGTCTCCTCCTCCCCCAACTCATGGTCGACCGGTATCAGGCGCTTTTACGCAGAGCGCAAATCGTCCATTGGGTGTTCGGCAGACGACTTTATTTGACATGGCAGTCCGGAGTCCAGCAAACCAGCCCCCGCGTGGCGAGCAGGTCATGTCACCACCCGAGAAGGTCGAGCCCCCGACGCAACACAAATTAAACCAGGAAGCTTTGGATACATGGGTCTATCCTACCAATCTGGGGAAAACCAGAGATTACCAGTTCAACATCGCCCAGAAAGGATTATTCCATAATCTGCTCGTTGCGCTGCCCACTGGTCTAGGTAAAACGTTCATTGCAGCCACCATCATGTTGAATTGGCTACGATGGACCAAAGACGCCCAGATCGTATTTGTCGCGCCTACAAAACCGCTAGTCGCTCAACAGATAGACGCATGCTTTCAAATCGCCGGAGTTCCACGATCCCAGACCACAATGCTCACCGGCGAAGCTGCCCCTGGCATCAGAGCTCAGGAATGGAAGGCGAAACGCGTTTTCTTCATGACCCCTCAGACCTTAGTCAACGATCTCAAGACCGGGATTGCAGATCCTAAGCGTGTCGTTTTGCTTGTTGTAGACGAGGCGCATCGCGCCACAGGAGGGTATGCCTACGTGGAAGTTGTGAAATTTCTTCGACGCTACAATCAAAGTTTCCGTGTCCTCGCTTTAACTGCAACGCCTGGCTCTACAGTGGAAGCTGTCCAGGCAGTGATTGATGGGCTGGATATCTCCCGAGTTGAGATCCGCACAGAACAATCCCTCGACATCCGGGAATATGTTCATGCAAAGGATATAGAAGTGCAAACATTCCAGAGTTCCGAGGAAATGGTTCTGTGCATGGATCTATTGACGAAGACACTCCAACCTTTAGTTGACCAGCTTCGGAGTCTCAATGCTTACTGGGGCCGTGATCCTATGGGACTTACTGCATTCGGATTGACAAAGGCCAGACAGCAGTGGATGATGTCGGACGTTGGTCGGAATGCACATTTCGGGTTGAAGGGCAAAGTAAATGCGATCTTCACCGTTCTTGCCAGCCTTGCCCATGGGATTGACCTCTTAAAATATCACGGAATCACTCCGTTTTACCGCCACCTTGCGCATTTTCAGTCCAATACTGATGGGCAGAAGGGTGGCAAGTATCAACGACAAGTTGTTCAGGATGAGAGCTTCAAGAAACTTATGAACCATTTGCAACCGTGGACTAAGAACCCAGAATTCATTGGCCATCCCAAGCTGGAATACTTGAAGCAGGTTGTCTTGAACCATTTCATGGACGCGGGTGAAGGTGCGGGTACAGGCGAGGACCAGGCGAAACCAGCAACTAGAGTGATGATCTTCGTGCATTTCCGAGACAGCGCCGAAGAGGTAACGCGAGTCCTCAAAAGGTACGAGCCGATGATCCGGCCCCATGTTTTTGTTGGACAGAGTAGCGCCAAGGGCTCAGAAGGAATGAATCAGAAAACTCAACTCGACATTGTGCAGAAGTTCAAGAACGGCACTTATAACACAATCATTGCAACTTCGATTGGTGAGGAAGGGTTGGATATCGGCGAGGTCGACCTGATCGTCTGTTACGACTCGTCCGCGTCACCAATTCGCATGCTTCAACGCATGGGACGTACCGGTCGAAAGCGAGCGGGTAACATTGTGTTGCTTCTGATGCAAGGCAAGGAGGAAGAGTCCTATATTAAGGCAAAGGACAACTACGAGAAGATGCAGCAGATGATTGCTAGCGGCACCCGATTTACTTTCCATGAAGACCAGTCCCCTCGTATCCTTCCCTCGGGGATCCGGCCTGTAGCTGATAAACGGGCGATTGAAATACCCGAGGAGAATACTGTGCGAGAGCTGCCTGAGCCCAAGAGAAAAGGTCGACCTCCAAAGAGGCCACCCAAAAAATTCCACATGCCGGATAATGTGGAAACAGGCTTCACGAAGGCGTCCAGCTTGGCTGAAGGCGGCAAGCGTAGGGAAGCAAAGAAAAGTAAGGCTCGCACGCCTACTCCAGAGCCCGTTGATCTCCCCGCGCTCGAAGATGTCCTGCTTACTCCAGCGCAGCAAAACGAGCTTGATGTTCATTACAGCAAGGCAGGACAATCCGATGCACCGTCAATCTGCAATCCTCGAACTGACGCTTTCCCGCGCCTTCAGCTCGCTCCTCGGCCTACTAAAGCAGTACAACACGGGTCTCTGACTCGCCGCATGATCGGGACTCTGCAGAAAATGGATCGAGTCTCCGCGGACTGCGAGCAGCAATACAGGCGTGTCCTAGCGCTGAGTCCGGACAGATACGAAGATATCCCGGGCACCACCGGCGACATGAGCAGCCGTGATTGTGGTGCCAGGCGCACACAGCGCACAGTGTCTGATTTTGTTCTCCCCATGAAACGCAAGACCAATGGGGAAAGGGATGGCTCGAATCAACCGCCGAGGAGTTTGGAGAACCAGCTCTCCGCTGTAGATTCAGCAGCAGACGATTCATTATTCTGCTCACAAATGACGGAGGACATGGGTGAAGACTTTCCTGACATGTCTACACTTTTGGACAGAAGACAGAAGCGTTGAGAAAAAGCGGCGGAGCCGCCAATTCGTCATGAGCGATGATAGCGTTGATTGATGGTGGACTTTTCTATTTGGTTAAGTGCCAGTCCGCATTGGATGCCGCTTTTCGACAGGACATAGCCTTCGATTGGTAGAAGAGGTTGGCCTGCCTTCTTTTCCCCTGAACATCCGTTGTATGGGGCCACGGAGAGCTCAGTGACGAATACCATACTGCCTCTCTCGACCATGAACTTGATGCCAGCTTTAGCTTGCATATCGGGATGCCCTACATCAGTCTATGGCCTTCCCACATATCACGTTTAGCCGAGCGAGTTTCCACCCGAATTGAATATTGAAGAGAGTTCACAGCACCATAAATTGGAAGCTACAGAAAGTCTCAAGGAAGCTGATTGGTCTAGTCTGGTTTTCCAATTTGCTATGTTCGGGGCCTTTACGTTCATACGAAGCCGTCTTACCAGAAACCAGAAGCCCTTTTACTGCAGTGTCTACCAGGCGAGAAGTGGAGAGCGACATTCCATACGGCTACCTAACTTGCCTGTGGTGGTGTTATCAGTGGAGATAGCCCGGTGCGATACTCTAGTGTAGCTGAGTCGTCTACACACTCCTCTGGGCAGGTCACTTTGACCCTGAGTATGTACTTAATAGGCACAGATAGATATTTCAAGGAATGATACTGGTTCGACTTCCACTTGCCTATCTTGGCCTTGATCACTTCTGTGATGCTTATTCCGCATCAGTAAGCTGCTATCATTGAAGAGCCAGAAAAGGACAGGTGCCTCTCTTAAAGCAAGGCGTCTTCCTATAATGACCTTGAACTTATAGTAGCAGACCTTTGTTGAGGCTCTTTTCAAGCAAGAACAAGGCAAGTCCAGGTATATACTTGACTCGAGTGATCAGGGGCAGGCCTTAATCGACCCGCTTTCTCCAACCAGCCGCGCTACACCGCTTACAGTAATCCACCGTCACTCCGTCTCCCCACCTCCCCCGGGGCTGGAAAGGTAAGGTAACTGGGAAGTAAACAGCAACCTAAACACTACAGTTTGATTTCAGCAACCCTTCACAATCATGGCTGATGCGCAATTTGATAGTGCGCTGTAAGTGTGTCCTGGCCGAACCCTTCACTTAACACTTCACCATCCTCCAAATCTCTCAAACAAGCTCCCCTCTCTGTCCGCATCGGCGAAGGTCAACCCCTCGCCGTGCAACCCCGCTTGCAGCATCCCGCTGACCACCAGCATCGTGCTGCTTTTAGGGACCTCCTCCGGCGCCTCAACCCCCGCGACACCAAGCAGAACTTACAGGCAATCACCACCATTGTCCCTGACCTGACCGAAGATCTCTTGTCGTCCGTTGATCAGCCCCTGGAGATCCGCCGCTGCCCCAAGACAAACCGGGATTACTTGCTCTGCGACTACAACCGGGATGGCGACAGCTACCGGTCACCCTGGAGCAACGAATTCGACCCCCCTCTCGATGACGGAACAGTGCCCAGTGAGCGGGTGAGAAAGCTCGAGGTTGCTGCCAACGAGGCCTTCGATGTCTATCGGGAGCTATACTACGAGGGCGGCGTGGGGAGTGTGTACTTCTGGGATTTGGACGATGGGTTTGCGGGCGTGATTCTGCTCAAGAAAGGTGCGTTGGCTTCTATCTCCGAACTGAAAGATCGGAGGGCTCGTGGAGCTTGGTTGCAGGAAGTGGGCGTTTAAATGCTGGTTGGGCTCGTTGCTAACGCGATGTGGTTTGGCAATAGGAGTCACCCCTGGTGCAAAGAGCTCGGGAGAGTGGGACAGCATCCACGTCTTCGAGGCTACTGATAGAGCTCGCATGTCCCACTACAAACTGACCAGCACGGTCATCCTCCATTTGGCGAATGAGTCCGAGGCTCTGGGCGAGATGGACCTCAGCGGGAACATGACCCGCCAGGTCGAGGTCGATTTGCCCGTCGAGTCGGATGCAAGCCACGTTGCAAACGTTGGCCGGCTTGTGGAGGATATGGAGTTGAAGATGAGAAACCTGCTGCGTATGTTTTCCGATTCCTCTGCACCCAGACGCAGCACATACACTACGGGACGAAGACTAATGTGGACATTCTTGCAGAGGAGGTATACTTTGGCAAGGCCAAGGATGTTGTCGGTGAACTGCGCAGTGAGTTCTCCTGCTGCGGAAATGCATGGGACCATAATACTAACGTGTTTCAGGTCTTTCATCCTTGACGGAGGCGAACAAGGAACGGGCTAATCACGCCGAGATGATCAGATCCATGCAGCGGTAGCCGCAGTCATTGCTTGGAGTCGTAAAAGCAAGAGGATATTTTATCTGTCAACATCATCTAGACGTTCGTCTTTCTATCCCGCGAGTTTGCCCATTCACTTTATTCTATGTAGTTTTAAGGTTCCTGGGGATCCGATCATAGTTTGACTCTGGCGCTTTTATTGTAAAAATTTTACTTGAGCCTAGCAATGGCTCAAAGCTTCGTCGTGCGGAATAAGCACACTTGTATAAACAAGCTTGGGTATCATAGACTCGTATTTTTGGCAAACCATTGTCCACGCGAATGGTTGTTGAGATCCTCCATTCGTCGACACCCGAATGCAGAGATCCGGAGTATCTGTGCGTGTGCCTGGTTCAGGCCATCGTTCATCAGTCCATCTCCATGTCTTCCCGTCTATCCTCCGTTTTCAACCCATGTCCAGCGGTTGCCGACGAAGGCCCATGCCGAGCGAGCTGCTCGACAAACTCCCTTACCGCAGCCCACAGCTCTGCCTCTTTATCCTTCCCGACCGTGTCCTTCCGACTGTTGAGCCAGCTCACATCCAACGGGTTTGACGATGCGGCCGCCGCTGCCGCACCAGCGCCTGCCAACTCGCCTGTGCGGGAGTTCGTTGCCGTCGCGGCCGTCTCCGGCGCGAGAATCCCGGCCTCCTCGAGGGCGTACACCTGTCGTCGCAGTCGGACATCGATGGACGAGAGAAGCGCAAAGTACTGCGATGTGGCTTCTTTGAAGCGTGTTTTGTGGGCGGCTAAGGAGTTGTTCTCCGCAGGTGAGTCGGTGGTTCGGGTGTTGGTAAGGGCTTGGATAGCGAGGCCGGCGGAGTGGATCAGTTGTGCGACATCCTGAACACGGTTCCAATTAGTACCAGATTCCAGACAGTATTGCAGTGCTGGTAGTCGGTAGTCTGAGTTTCATTCTCGAGTAGGATGCACGTTGTCGCAGGTCTAGCTTCTCTAGATGGTAGATAGCTTACCTTGTCGATCTCATTAAGCTGCCGAATGCGATCGGCGGAAGTGAAGATTTGGTCCGGAGACCTAGAATTGTTGCCAGACTCGGCCATGGTATTCTGGGCAGTGCAAGGCACAGGGTGAATTGCAGTAATAAGCCAGTTATTGCTCTTGATGATGATAGGTGCATCAACGGGGCTCAGTGCGATCTACTGAGCCTATCATCACGTGATGAGATTGGGCCAGCTACACGCTAGTGCACAAAAGGGATAGTGTTCTTAAGCTGCGGACTTCGCAAAACCTCCGGATTGAATCGCATCCCGAACTGCTTCCTTCCCCGTCCGCGTGTCGGTCTCTTCCTCTCTCTCTCTTTGCTAGTCTTCTGAGCGCTGTCACATCTTATCTTATTCGAACTGGACCTCCTCCGCTCGGCATCTAAGAGCTTTTGCCCCCCCCCGGTTGAATTACCCCTGTCCAATCATCCAGCAGCCATGTCTGCGCCAGGCGGGGCCCCGAGCCCAGCTCCCCGAAGTGGAAGTATGGGGCCCGGTCCAGGTGGGATGTCGATGCCTCCTCAACAACCCATGACCAACACCGGCCCTGTGACGCCTGGCCCCCCTGCTCCGCCGCCGCCGCCGCCGGGGGGACCGATGTCGCAGCAAAATCTCAATCAAATAGTATGTATTCGTCTCTCATTCCTGGTCCGTTGTGCTCTGTGCCGCGGAAGGTGGTTCTTGCGGAGATGGGGGTGTTGTGCGGGTTCAGGCATGTTATTGTGTATTCACATTGCAGACGTCGCAGTGAAGGTGCCGTGAGGGTGCTTCAAATTGCTTACCGTTCAACGGTCACTGTCGTTATTCACAAAGAGACGAAGCCGTTAAACGTGTGACTCTGGTTGTCCTTTGGACTCTAAGCGTTGCTGGATCTCATCGCCTCTTCAACTTAGAAGGCCCCTGCTGTGATATCTACATTTTTTGATATCAACCAAAGTCTCTTACCATTGCTTCGCCAAATACTGACACAAATGTCTGAAAAACAGGTCATTGACTACTTGGCCAAGAAAGGCTATAGTCGCACAGAGGCTATGCTGCGCATAGAATCGGCGCATCAAGAGATTGATGGCCGCCCGCCGATGCCCCCTCTTGGTGAAGATGCGCGTCCTAAGTACCGACTTGGCTTCGGTAAGTTCGTCCTACCCTTTTCTCTCATTTGTCTAACGCTGTTATAGATTTGCTTAAGGTCTGGGTTGAAGATAACTTGGATCTTTACAAGGTATGCCCTTCATACTAAGGCCGGCAGATGAATCATGCTTACAAGCCCTCGACAGCCTGAACTCAGACGTGTGCTGTGGCCGCTCTTTGTCTACACCTTCATCAACATGGTGTCCTCATTCAAGCCTCAAGAGGCGAAACAATTCTTCGACATGAACAAGAACCTCTTCTTGCCGGAGCACACAGAAGATGTTCGCGCTTTGGAGCCCATCAGTCTCCCGGAACATGTTCAGGACAACGCTACGGCCAAGCTCTATAGAACCAACAAATACCGCTTGGTCCTCAGCAACCCGGCATTCTCAAACCTCATGCAATTCTTAGAGAGCAAGCAGAAAGAGGGCGGATCTGATATGACTGCAATCCTGAGCAGTTACTGTACCATCATCACAAAAGAGCGCACTTCCGACGACCGATTTAGTTTCGCCGCCATGCTCGGCCAAAGTGATGGCACCCAGACCTTTCCTAGTGAAGATGAGGGTATTCCCGGTCACCACCCCGGGTCTGCTTACACCGGAGATAATCCGAACATGGCCGGAACCTTGCCTAGACTGAAGCTTGGGAAGTTACCACTTGAGTCGACCCTGGAGACTGACGTACGCGGCGAGCTCGCGGATGAAGACGCCAAGCATCCTCCGGGCCCGGGGCAAAACACTTTGATTCAAGAGTTCGAGCAGATGATCAAGAAAGAGGACGACGAAGAAGCGCCTACTCGCGCTGATATCCCCTATCCCCCATCGACCGCTCGAGATGTCGCGATCGAGGTCCAAAAGGTCAAAGAGAACCGCGACAGGTTTAGGATCGAAGGTAGAACCGGTGGTGTTGGGCCGGCCGTTAGTGTCTGCATGTTTACATTCCATAATACCTACGATGGGTGAGTAGTGCCTACCTTCGTGCTTGTCATGATATCCCGCGACTGACTGTATCCAGCGTCAACTGCATGGACTTCTCCGATGACCTTATGCTCGTTGCGGCTGGTATGCAGGAGTCCTATATTCGGGTCTGGAGCATGGATGGGAAGACGATCCAGTCGACGTACGACAATGTGGATGATGCGCCCTCGAATTCTCGTCGCCTGATTGGACATGCTGGACCTGTCTATTCTGTAGCATTCGCGCCTTCCATCACGCGTGCCGACAATGCCATTGCGCCGACTAATGCCCGTTGGCTACTCTCTTCGTCAGCCGATCGAACTATCCGTCTCTGGTCCCTGGATCTGTGGCAATGCATGGTAGTTTATAAGGGCCACGATCAGCCCGTTTGGGATTTGCAGTGGGGCCCATTCGGTCACTACTTCGTGTCCGGTGGCCATGACAAGACCGCACGCCTCTGGGTCACCGACCACATCCGTCAACAACGTATCTTCGTCGGACACGACCAGGATGTCGACTGCGTCTGCTTCCACCCCAACTCGGCATATATCTTCACCGGCAGCTCCGATCATACCGTGCGCATGTGGGCCGTGACTACGGGAAATGCCGTCCGTATGTTCACTGGCCACACAGGAAACATCACAGCTCTGTCGTGTAGCCGTGATGGAAAGCTCCTCGCATCGGCCGATGACCACGGGTCGATCCTTCTCTGGGACCTAGCCCCAGGACGACTTCTCAAGCGCATGCGTGGTCATGGCAAGGGTGGCATCTGGTCCCTCAGCTGGAGCGTAGAATCAAACATTCTAGTCTCTGGCGGTGCTGACGGTACTGTCCGTGTCTGGGACGTGGCTGGTCCTGCACAGGATCCGTCTCAGGGTCGGGTTGTCGGCGAGGGCGGCGCGGGAACCAAGGTCGACGGCGGCAATCCCCCTGCGGCCAGCACACAAGCCTCCAGCTCCGTCGGACCTGGCATTGGAAGCAAGAAGAAAGGCAAGGATGTGGTCGTAACGCCTGACCAGATCAGCGCGTTCCCGACCAAGAAAAGTCCAGTATACAAGGTCAAGTTCACCAATATGAATCTGATCATGGCTGGAGGTGCTTATCTTCCTTGAAAGGGGTCGACGGAGGAGAAGGGTTGTGTGATTTGCATGCACTGTGGCGCCAGATACCCGTTTCTCTTTTTCTTTTTGTCTTTATTTATTTCTATTTGATCACCTCAATCTGCTTTTCTGTCGAGACATCCCGTCTTCTTCCTGATTTGCATTGCCACATGTATTCGTTAGTGATTTGGCTGAATGATTTGGTGGCGTCCTGGATGGAAAATGCGAAATGGGATGGCCGGTGGGCTTTTGGTGTTTATTTGGCAGGCAGCATTTTGTTTTCAAATTTAGAGCGGGAAAGCCTTTGTGAAGAAACCAGAACACAGCAACACAGATCTCATTGTAATCTGTACACTTTTTTCTTCATACCTGAATTTGCACCTATACACAGATAAACCCCTCAACAAAACATACAAGTCATACACTCTAGTCGTATATACCTTCTACACCCTCTTGGAGGCCCCAACTCTGGAGCCTAGCCCAGCGCCGTTCCCTTTGCTCATGGCCGCCTGCGCCTGCATGTCCGCCACCTTGGGCGGCAGCACCAACGCACTTCGATCATTCCTCTTGTAGAAGTCCACCAGGATCTGTGCCGTCTTGGCTGGCTGGTCTTCGTGAATGAAATGGCCCGCTTCCGGCAGAACCTGTAATTGGTATTTGCCTAAAGTCTCACCATCAATCAATTCTTTGATGTTAGCTCTCTTTTCTTCTCAAGCCCAAACCTTTACTCGAATCACATTACTGCAAAAAAAGAGCGAGTTTACTGTGGGAACAGACTTGGGGGGAGGGGGATGGGGGTTGTTGATCGTTACCTTGCATCTGCCCGATCATCAACTCCTTATCGAGGCGATCCGTCCCCGCCAGCAGGAGGAGTTTGCCGCCGCGCGCATCGAGGAACTTCCGACTCAGGCCGATAAACCAGTTCTCCCAGAAGGGCTTGGTCTCGGACAGGTTAGTGCGCCAGACCCAGGGTTTGGTGGGATCTGTCGGGGTGGGTTGTTCGTAGAGAAGGGAGGGGACGGAAATGCGGGCGGAGGTTTTGTTGCGGATGGTGCGCGAGCGGGTGCTTTTGGTTCCGGGGCATTGGAATCAGAAGACACTTGGAGACGCGCTTTGGGGGTGGGTTGACTTACTGCCATTCTATGCCGGAGGCTATGGAAGGGAAGCGGGAGGGTCGGGTCAAGAGGTATGTTTCCATGCTTTGAAGGGCGTCCATTGCGGATCCTGTTTTTGGGAGTGGTCAGATTTACAGGGTTTGTTCTTGGGTTAAGATTAATAATGGGAGGAGGAGGAGGAGGAGGAGGAGGTGGTGGTGGTGGTGAAGAACCCGGGAAAGAGTCCAGGTATGGGGGATACGGTTGCGTAAGACGTACCTTCAACAACATCGAGAACGGCATAGGCCAATACTTTGGACCCTAAGTCGCCGCTCTTTGCGACGTCGGTTATCACGGCGCCGCCCAGGCTGTGCCCGACGAGAATTAGGTCTGGGAGACTGTCCCAGCCCATCTGGCGCTGGGTTTCGCGGACGACGAAGACGAGATCCCGGTTGAGGGTCTCCAGGCTGAGATCGAGTGCGGGTGAGCCGCCTTCTTCCTGAGGGGCCCTGTCGTCCCCCTTGTCGTTGGGGGGCGAGGCTGTCGTCACGACCGTGCTGCCGTGGTGACGAGCATCGAGCGATAAGATGCCTGCCTTGGGGAGGAGCTTGCGGATCTCCTCGGCGCACGCGGCGAACGAAAGACCTGAGGAGCCGGCGCCGTGGTGCATCACGAAGAGCGGACTGCCAGAGTCGGCGGGAGGCGTGAGGTATACATGGTGGGTGATGCGCGTGTTGGTGCTGGGGTCGACCTGAGTGAGATGCAGGTCTTTAGTGAAGAACTCGGTCCAGCTTAAGCTTGTTTGAGGGGATCTGAAGAGGCATTAGATGGCTGTGAAGCACTGGCTCTCGTAAATGGATGATATCCTTACCCGCGACCACCATTTGGTCTGGCAAATAGATTGCGACTGGGTGAAGGGATTAGCGTGCCGGTGGATGAAGCGGAGGAGTAGTCCTCATCGTGACTGGACTCTCCCTGTTCCTCGTTGAGGGGGAACATGAAAGAGGACGGAGTCGCGGACAAAATGTTAGGGGGTAGCTGGTGCGAGAGCTTGGCCAATTTCGATTTGGCGAAGGATTTCTGCAAGTCGCTCATGAATGTAATTGGGCTTCTGCTATCTGGCAAGGGTAAATACTGCCACTAGCAGAGTTGCTATGTCGGTTCGATTAACACAAGGATATGATGCGCAAAAGCAGACAATGGAGTGGAGCATGTGGTGGTGTGGTGTAGTCTGAAATGTGGGGATTGAGTGGCCCGCCGAGGAAGAAAGTCCTAGATGTTGCAGAATGGGCGCAGGCTGGCAATTGTCTCAATTGATTGTTTACAGACAAGCAATGCACTCTATCGGATAAGCCAGAATTGTTTCGATTGCTGTTGCATAGATTTTCCTGTTTGTTGCATGGTCAGATAGGCGCAGCAGTGGAGACACACCGCACGCACCGGTCACTAATGTCGCTTTTGACGGTGGATCTGGTTCCAAGCTTTTAGTAGTTAGATGAGATGAGACCCAGGCTTTCGGTTGGATTAATACGAGTAGATCGTGTGGCAAACAGTTGATCTGATCTGAGCTGATCTGATCTAGTATTGAGTATGAGTATGTGTAGGAGTCAACAGCCCGCCTACTGAATAAATGGACGAAAGATCACCTGACTGGCAACTATCTCCCCCCCCCGCCTTCCTTTAATCTATTTTCTTTCTCTCTCTCCTAAGCCAGATCAATCTATCCCTCTTCCTTTCTCTGTCCTCTCTTCCACAGATGCTGCAATCTCACCTCCAACCAGGAACTTGTCCGTGTACCACAATTCTTATCAGATGTAGCGGTGAAAACTGGCATGAACCCTGCATGACGTCAGTGGGTGGCATTCCTTCTGGGGAAATCCCGTGATATTCCATTCTCCCCCATTGTTCCCTGTGACGTCAAGTTATCGAGATGCGATCTCCGTCACTGCCTTCTCTTGCTGTTATGCAGCTGTGTTCTCAATTTTCCCTGTCGCTTTTCTATCGCTTTTCTATCGCTTCCCTTCCACCAGTTCATCCTTGAAAGTGGTTACAACGCTTGTGTCGCTTGTACAGTACATACGGTCATCGTCGAAATCGACTTCGAGTGTTTCGCTATACTGGCATCATGCCGTCACTTAAACTTGGGCGGAATGATAACGCCGAAAGAGAGGAGCGGCCAGACAATGAGGGTGACGATACCCAACATTCAGAGCCCACCGAGCGCTCACGACTCTTGCCGCGCGATCCCCCAGCTTATCTGAGTCCTGATGATCCTGCTGTGAGTGCCTTTCGTTGTGGATAAAGCAAACGAAGATGTGCTACGGCAGTCGGTGTTGCTCACACTTGCCACTTCCAGGTCTCGCCGTACAACCTTTGGAGCATTCGCGCTCTTCGCGGCCTATCCTCGCTCTTTCTGGCCCTGAGTTTCATTTGGTGGACCTTCCTTCTTGTCTCACTGTTCGTCAGTCCTCCCATGATGCATAGTCGGGGGTCTGGGTTCTTCAGCTTCGCCTATACAACCCTCACCACCGGATATCTCGTCATCAGCCTGCTGTTCTTTGCCGTGCCGTCCAAGCCGATGACCGTTTGGGGGATCATTATCGGGGTCTTTCTCTGCATCGATATGATCCTCACCCTTGCTGTACCTCGCATCCGCGTCGAAGAGGGCTGGGTAGGCGTAGCCTCGGTTGTCTGGGCCACCTTCATCGCCCTGTACAGTATCTTCCAGAATCGGGCCGTAGAATGGGGCAAGCGTGAAGAGGAAGAGCGTCTCACCGGTCGTCCGGAAAGCCGTCGCCCCCTCCGCGAATGGATCGCCGTGCTACTGCAGACCATCTTCATGGCTATCTTCGGAATCGTCTCTATTCTTTTCACGGCTACACTGATCCTGCGGGCCCGCGACGCCTCTCTCCCTGCACCAGGCAAGAAGTATCTCGTCAATAGCAATAACTACCAGGTCCACCTCAACTGTGTCGGTAGCCCTAACACAACGACGACTCAATACCTCAATGACGTCCCCACCGTCCTGATCGAAGGCGGCGAAGGTCCTGTCGAGCACACCCTCCAACCTTTTATTGACAACGCCTACCAAAGCGGCCTGGTCCCTCGCTACTGCTACTGGGATCGCCCAGGCTTCGGTTGGTCCGACAATGCACCGTCCCCCTACTCAGCCGGCATGGCCGCCGACGCCCTCTCGGAGGCTCTTGCCCTGGCCGGCGAAGAAGGTCCCTGGGTCCTCGTCTCTGCGGGTGTCGGTGGCATCTACAGCCGCATCTTCGCCAGTAGGCATCTGCTTGAGGTGACTGGCATCCTGCTCATCGACAGCACGCACGAGGACTATCTCTCTCAGATCGGCTCCTCAAGCCGCGGCTTTGTCCTCTGGCTGCAAGGAGTGCTCTCACCGCTGGGGCTGGACCGCATTGCCGGCGCGCTGTTCAAGGGTCGCACTCGCGAGGACCGGGTCTACGGCCGCAGCGCCTACCAGACAGGAAAGTTCATCAAGGCCAAACTCCAAGAAAATCTCGTTGCCAAGTCCATGACCGCCTCGGAGGTCCAGACTGCCCGCCACGTCCAGATGTCTGACACGCCGCTAGTCGTCGTCAGCTCGGGCGTCGAGGTCCGCAAAAGCCACAAATGGGCCAAGACGCAGGAGGACCTGACGAAGATTACCCAGAACCTGAAGGACTGGGATATTGTGAGCGGGGCACCGCACGAGGTGTGGAAGACTGTCGAGGGGAGACGCCTTCTGGAGAAGAGACTGGGCGAGTTGCTCGAGAAAGAGTAAGCGGTGTAGGCATCCGATTTCTTGAAAACACTCTCTCCTCAATCCGCGGTTCTCTCCTTCTACGTATTTACGATTTCACTTGCTTTGGTTGCAAGGAGGCCTCTTTGGCTTTTAATTCTTTTCTGACGTGGTGCGTTCACAAATGCCTTTGATTCTCTCGATGATCCCTTCGATCTCTTGTTTTTGTAATCCTGAACCATCCGACGACAGATTGGGCGATCATGATATTACGACTTTTACCATTCTACTCTGTATGATATTTTTTTTTTTTCGATATGCAACGGTCGCTTTCCGTGGAGCAAGAGTATTTCACTTTTGTCATGCTGTTTTCCTTTTTTACTATTCTATTTGACGCATGGGGTTAAAATGTCTATGGCACTCACTGGGAATGTGGAATGTGATTTGTCTCTTCTTCGCTTCATCAACAAATTCCACTCCAGCATATTGGTATCATGATTCCGTGTTAACGATTTGCCACTACCGGTAGTTACGGACCTCAAATAGGCATGCTACTTGCGGCCGAAAAGTCAGTACTGTGTAGCCGAGCTTGGCACCAGCAAGCGAAAAGGGTGCCAGATACGTGGATACGTATGCCTCGAGGGATGAGAGGAAAGCGCCTGTTGAAAGAGATATATCCTTGCTTGAGTGAGACTATACCCTAGATACGGCATCATGTAAAGGCCACTGATGCTTCTCCGGACTAGTAATTGGTCCAATTAACCCTCTACTAGCGGTCCCCCCCACCAACCGAAAAAAATCCACCTCACCCCATTGACCCTTTCCAGATCGATCACCAAACCATATCAGCCGGGATCGGGATTGAACAACGCGCATACTATGAGATTGATCGCAACTCGAACTCTCCATACACTATGGATCATGGAGAGTGAGGGGAACACCGGTGAGGGGGCAGCGGACAGAGAGGCAATCAGGCGGAGCGGGAAAAATGCCGAGACGGGTTTCCGCGGGTTGGAAGGTGTTTCTCCAGTCGACGTGGAAGACCAGAATCAATCACTCATTCTAGGCTAGCTCCCTTAAACCTCTTAGCAAGCTGTTCACTTTCTGATTTGGGAGAGGCGGATCGGGAGGAGGCAGAGGCAGAGGGAAAGGGGCGTCGACCGGCTTTTCTCAGGGGGAGAGGGAGCTCAGATCCAGGTGATGGTGATGGTGATGATGAGGATGGAGGAGCTAGTGTGGCCGTGCTCAGCCAGGGGCGCTTGGGGGGCCGCTCACCACTTTCCTGCAGAATTGTGACCAGTGTCGCCCAGCCGGGGGTGTTGATCAGCTGCATACCATCGGCGGGGTTGCGGGACGTTGCGACGCGGCAGAGGAGAGATTCTTCGTCCTGGAGAGTGGTGTGTCAGGTTAGCATGAGACTGATAGTATCGCAATGTACTCTTAAGCGGAGGGAAGGGGAGGGGGGATGGTAGCAGGGCCATACTTTGCTGAAGGTGGAGAGGTTGTGCAGGAAGCACAGCAAGTGGAAATCTGACACAGCACGGATTGCCTTCTCCGGGTCACCATGCGAGACGAGCTTCTTCGCGACGTTGCGTAATTCTTGGCTCTCGCCAATGACTTCACGATGCTCGATGGGGAAGGTGCTGTCGGTGAAGAGGGGGGAGGATTCGGTAGGGAAACCATGGGTCAAAGTGACAAGGAGATATTCCACCGGAAAGCTGGGTTTGGCATTCTGTTGAGCACTGACGCCGTATTCGTTGATTTTGCGGTAGAAGACCTCAGGAATATATCGAGATTTGTTCTGCTCATCGTCATCCTCAGACTGGACCAGCATCACAGATGGTTCGGCGGACGGCTCGACGATGTCGGCTCGAACCATCTCGACTGCAGCCACAGATGCTTGGTACGCGCTGACAGTGATCGCACCTTCTTCGTCTCCACTGAGGACACAGGTGACGAAATTGGATCCAAACCGGCCCGTCCGGCTCCATTTTGTTGCCTTGGGGTGTTGAGCTTGTAGGCGCGCTGCGAAAGCGATCTCGAGGGAAGAAAGATAGTAGGAATCAATGTGCCGCTTGCACACTACTGATCCGTTTCCGTTACCCGCATCAAGCAGGTCTGTAAATATCACTCCAATCTTCTCCATGCCACAAAGCCGCGCCACCTCATCAACCTCCTTCTCATCGGGCCACTCGTGCAGCGTGACCCCGTCAACCTCATCGACCTGCGGGGGTTCATAGATGGCCTGCACTACTGCTTTGACGCCCAGGGGAACCTCCGCGTATTCTTCGTAGGTTCCGTACAGGAATCCCAACCGTTGGGCCCCGGATTTCCGCCAAAAGTTGAGCAACGAGTTGACAAGCTCCGAGTGGGCAAACTCCACATGGTCGACCATACGGAACTCTTGCGGCTGTAGACTGATGGCACTCGGCTGGCACTTGGTGCAAATGCCCTCCGGCCATTGAGGATGTCCGGACGGGCAGTCTCGTCTCACGCGATAGTAGGGTTCATTGAGCGGGGGCATGAAAGAGCTTTTGAGCTCCGCTTTGTTGGTGGAGGCGTTAAGTTTGCGTAGGTACGAGTGGAAGGAGAGGTGCTTGATCTTCTTCTCGGCCAGGTATTTGGGGTCATATGGCTCGAGCGGCATGCAATAGTCACACATGCCCTTGGGACCGTGTCGACACATCTTCATATCGCGGGGCCGATGGATCTTGCCGTCCTTCTTGTCCAGTGCATCATCGAGCGGTGATTGTTGCACCACATCCCAGGGGTTCTTGATCACAGTGGTTGGGGAGGTCGGTTGCGGGGGGCGGAATGTGACGGTATCGTTCTGTGGAACCGGTGCTCCGTTCAAGCGTCGGGATGTTTCAATTGAGGCAGGAACTCCGTTGACGGAGCCATTCTGTTGTCCTTGGGTCTCGTTGTAACCGAGATAGAGCTTGTCTCCGTGTCTGAGATTTCGGGCAAAGGAAGTTATTAGCCGCTGTACTCGGCAGTCGAGACTACCTGGCGTGCTGCGGGTACTCGATGCAAACTCACTTGAGACCGACTCTCTCGATCGGCACACCTCCAAGTGTGCTCAGAAGCCTCTCTTCACCACCAGTACCTATGGGCTTATTGGAAAGGGTAATAGATGCGGGATCTGTGCTGGAGGGTAGATGTTCAACAATCTAAAGTGGGGTCATGGTTAGTAGTCCCTTCATGCTGATGCTATCTATTCTTTCTCGTCAGTGATTCTTCACCTTCTGCTGAAGAGTAGGAAACAAGTCCTGAGGGCTGACTGTCAGCCGGAACTGGCCGTTGCGGCTTTCGAATCTCAAAATAATCGACCGGGACGCCATGATGGCGAAAGAGGCGCCAGAGGAGGGAGCGGGCGGAGGTTTGGAATAAAGGTTTTTCAATTTTCACTAAGCTCAGGCTTCACTGCTTCATCGTAATCATAAGGTCATGTCAGGAATTCAGGAAAAAAGTGAGGCTGAGGATGGATCCGAGAGAACGAGGAAGATAGTCGGAGAAGAGGAAGCTCTGCGGCGGGCCAGGAAGGCAGCGAAGCTCTATCGTCATCGGCCACCGTAAGCTACCCCTCACCGCCTTGATCCTTGTCAGGAATTGCCGCTTCCCACTTTCAGTACTTTGTATTTATTGTTCCTTTCTACATCCTCTCCGTCATAGAACAGGCAATAGCATATAGATTATCATTCATTCTCTTTTTAGACTGAAGTCTGGTGTATCACGTGAATTATGTACTTGAAATTCCCTCCCTCTATCACCCAACGCCATACCAACCGAAAACAGAAACAAAAGCAAGCCCAGTTACAGAGCAGAGAACCGGATAGGATATTAAGCAATTCAGTTTTCTACTGGATGACACACTTCTTGGGCAGGCCACAAGGTCCCTCATTGCTCTTCTCCTCCCGGGTCGCTGCCTGGGTGCTTTGTCCGTTTTGTGCAGGTTTCGGCGCGGGCTTCTCCGTCTCGGTCTTCTGCTGCGGCTGGGCCGCGGCAGGCGACTCCGACTGAGTCTGCTCGCTACCATGTAGTCAAGCGAAGGTGTGCTTGGAGACGTGCTCGTAGAAGGCCTTGCCCTGAGCCTCGGCGATCTCGAGCTCGAGAGCGGAAGGCTGGCGGGAACCGTCGGCACCCTGATAGTGATGTTAGTGGATGCACCAGGGAGGCATCATGCAATCCGCCGGGGCATAGTGACTTACAGCGAAAGTACCGGCACCCCAGGGGCTGCCACCGTGAACCTCGTTGAGGTTGGCCAGCTGGCCGAAGACGGTCTTGTAGCCGAGAGGAACGTAGACGAAACCGTGGTGGGCGAAGGTGCTCATGGAAGCAAGAGCAGTGGACTCCTGACCGCCACCCTGGGTACCAGTGGAGATGAAGAGACCGGCGTACTTGCCCCAGTAGCCACCGGTGGCCCAGATTCCACCGGTCTGGTCCCAGAAAGCCTTCCACTGGGCAGGGAAGTTACCGTAACGGGTGGGGATACCGAAGAGAACAGCATCGTACTCGAGCAGAGTCTTGGGCTCAACAACGGGGTAGCTGGACTTGGGAGGAGCGTGCATCTTAGCCAGGACCTCTTCGGGAAGAGTCTCAGCGACCCTAAGTGAGCCGTGTCAGCTACTATCACATAAGTTGGCTGATGCCGTGCCTGGATGTCAACTCACTGGTAGATGTCGGCGGAACCGCCAGCAGCCTCAATACCCTTCTTCTCGGCCTCGGCCAACTGTTGGATGTGGCCGTACATCGAGTACTGTATGATCAACCATCAGTGACAATGTTCCAGAGTCCTGAGGAACAACCAGGACGAATTGAAAATGTCTCCCATTGTATGGTGGAGAAAAGATATCAATCGGTCGGGAAGGTACATACGAAGACGATAGCAATCTTGGGAGCCATGGTGACTGTTTGTGAGGGGATGATTTCTGGAAGGATGACAGAAAACGGTCTTTGGATACTGGGACTGACTGATGAGAAGAAAGAGGGGCTGGTCAAAGAGGGGCAGAGAAGCAGCAATTATATATTCAGATAGAAAGGCCCCTCTCTTCCCCCTGCTCCCTCACCCAGCAAGTACTGCTGTACGTACAACAAACAGTTGCTGCGCAGCTACGGGCAAAAGAGGTTCAATTGCTTTGGCAAGCATCCGTAATCGATGACAGACCCTGGGGCCCAAGAGCTGGTGATTGGCGAGGAGCAGTTGCAAGTGGGACGAGCGGGGAAGCAAAGAGAGCCCTAGGCCAATCAACAGTGGCAAAACCATCTTACGGGACGGTGACAAATCGCGCCTAAATTCCGATTGCGCATTGGAAATTCAGAACCTCCTGGAAAAGTGGACGCGGTGGAGTCCATTGCCCGTATTGTTAATCTCTGAATCAGCCATTAGTACAAGGTAGGGCTAGTCGACTCGGGTCTAGTTCTAGTCTTCATACCCGTACACGCCTAGAAGTCTACCAGAGAGCCAGTAGGCTCCAGCTGCACCATATCCCCTTTCGGGATACGGAGGAAGAGGCACACTAGTAGCAATAACCATTGCAGTTGATTGTTGTTTGGATCCATCGTAAACTCTCTCTATTCCATTCATTTGAACTATGTTGATACAGCTGCTTCTATCGTTACTACGTTATTAGGCAATGCATTATATACATTTCAATAATCATAGCTAATTAGAGAAGGAGGCCATTCCGGGCGTCATGGATTGGCATTCTTATCTGAGATCAGCTCTAGACCTTCCATCGCTCGTCCCAGCACGCAATCAGCCCATCAGCCCATCTTATCTGCAATCTATACGAACTGCAGACCCCGACCCTAGAAACCATTGTACTGCACCGTACATGGTTACCGATAAGCCCTTGAAATTCAAAAGTATACGCTTTCGTATTAGGCTAAACGTGTAGCCATTTCCTCTGACTCTTATATCTGCATAAAAATACATACATGACATGCCCGCTTTGCGTCGTAAAATAAATCAAATCATCATCAAATGCCACGGATGGGTATCTTCACAATGTAGCAACTGGAATCTCACAGAATTTCTCCCCCGGATAGAGCATCGTCTAGCCACGCCCACGCCCCCGGAAACGGCCGCGCATGAAACCTCCGCCGCGGCCTCGTTCGCTCCGCCATTCGCGCTCCCGTTCTTTCTCCTTCTCCTGTTCTTCGCGGATCAGCGCCCGCTCGCGCTCCAGGTCCTCCTCCGTCTTTTCCACGCGCATCGTGGGCCGTGGGAGGTTCTCCGACCACCGGGGGTGCGCGTCAATGCAGCTCTTGCCTTCCGGGCAGAATCCCGCCAGGTAAAATGGACAGAGACGGCGGCGCACATGTCGTTTGGCACACAGCGGTCCCAGCTCGCAGAAGCCCCGGTCGTAGTGTTCGCACGGCGGCAACCGGGCTTCCTCCCGAACGTGTTGGTAGAGACAATCGTCGCCGTTCGGGCAGTAGCCGGATCGAGAGAAGGACTGGCACTCGGGCATGCGCCGCAGGTTGTATTCGTGAAGGTACTCGCATTTGATGCCTTTTTTGCAGAGCCCCTTGAGAAAGTGTTTGCAAACCAGGGATCCATGTGTGGTCGAGGGCGCCAGTCCCGAGGCTGTCGTCATTGACGTGGTCATGCGTGAGGGCGTAGGGTGTCGGTCCGGGCAGGCTGGCCCCAGCGGACAGTGGCCCTCGTGGAAGGCCTTGCATTCGGGAACGTCGCTGGCGAGGCCGAATCCATAGCTACTGCGCAGAAAAGGGATGAAGGAAAAATCGTCGAAGTTTGGGTCGCGAGGAGTATCGGGGGACAGGATGCGCGAGGCAACGTGGCCGACGTCAGTCGCCATTGTATTGAGCTTGTCAGAGTATGTGCGAACGAGCGGTCAAATGAATAAGAAACGGAGAGGTAATGTAATCTGGACGAGGGACCACTACTCGTGGTCAATGCTAAAGCTTCGAGAGATAGACCAGTCCTGCGGAGAAGTGCTACCGTGTGTCAAAACGAGTTATGAATCGTGAGCTAGGAGTTGGACAGGAGGAATGTGAAGTAACAAAGCCAAAGACAAAAAGAGATCGGCCCGAGCGACAGAGCGGCAATATTCTTTGAGCAGTAGGCGGTGGCAACAGCTCGAGCAGATTACTCAGCTCCTGCATGATGGAACCAAGTCGAAGTCGAATCCAGAACCAAAACATTCAGATCGGACAGGTCATACATTCTACCGTGATCAGACAGGATGATAATTAGCCAGAATGCGATAGCTCGTCCGCCCCAGCTGTCTGGGGAAATCTTCCCCGGAGCAGCGTCGGGCTGCCCCTGCATATGACGAGCATCAACATTGTTGGCACGGCCAGCATTACATGGTCGGCTACTATGAGCCTACAAGCTTCAAGACAGAATCACTGCTTGGAATCTGGGGTAGAATCAGTATCCGCCCGGTTGTGAGAATAACTGTTTCTCTTGTCCTTCTTGTATTTCTTGGGCACTTCCACCCACCCCGTGCGACCGCTGGTCGCTGGGAGCACCGGAAGATACGTCGTCTGCCACGCTAAGATCGCCCATGTCATCCGTTGTTCCACCCCTCCAACAGTGATTTATGCCTTGGGTATAACTCATATCTCTCTCGGATCGCGGTTCCTCCCTTCGGTGGCTGTGATTATATCACCGCGACAGTCAGCATATTCACCTTGACCAAGGATCACCCCTATAAACAATTGCGACGGTGGCATTCGAAGTGCACAGGGGTTAAGCCCGAGTATCTCCAAGACAGCAGTAAAACCAAAAAAAAAAAAAAAGGCATTTCTCCACGGAATCGATTATTCAGTCTGGTCCGGAACGACCGATCGAGATACCTGTGGACTACTCGTAGCAGTTAGGGAGGGAGCGATGGCGGATGAGCAGCGGCCCATGTCGCCTGAGAGCACTACTATTACCTGCACAACTGCAATGCTGATTCGGCGCCGGAGCTCAGTAATCGGTCGATCCTTTTCTCATGGCTGCATGGGATCAGTCGCATTTCTTGTCTTTGATCCACCCGGCATCGAGGTATTGGCACCAGGCCAGAGAGTGAAGGAGCCCAAATGTCATCAAAACAGGCTCTGAGCGCTGATGCACTGAAGATACCTTACGGAGTTGTTGTGCTGAAGTCAGAACGAAGCCTCGAAGGCAGCCAATGACCCGCTCGATGGCTTGAAACGGACGTTCAACCTGGAACTGTCATAGGCGGGGAGGGAGCCAGACGTTCGGACCGTGTCTGGGGCTGATTCTGATCCGACGAGCCAACACGAAGGAAGAGAGAGTGAGCGAGAGAGACTTGCGACTGGGGCCTGAAACTCTGCCTGTTCTGCCTAGGTGGGCCGTGCGATTGGTTTCACTTCTGGGCATAACCATCATCATCATCATTATGATGGTGGTGGTGGTGGTGGTGGTGGAGGGGGAGGATTTGTCCGCCGCCGCATTTGACTAACTATTAAGAAGCCCTAGAAATAGCGTACCCGGGCTCTCTAAGACTACCTTATTAGTACCAGTAGTAATGGATTCGCAAAACGGGAGAAGAACTAACTTGAATGTACCTTACGGTAGGTCAAGTACTAACTTAACTACTACTACCAGGTACTAACTAAACAACTAACTCCTGCGGTTGCCTTCTTCGGGAGAGTCTGTACTTCTGTCGCTTCGCTTGTTCGGTCTTGCTGTCTAACACTGACCCTTTTTTCCTTCCACGTCCGTCTCTGTCTTATTCTTGTTCGGTTCGAGTGAGGGATTTCAATCTTCCAGAAAAATCGAACAGATGAGTCGATAGGAGCCGGGGGAAAAACCAAAAATCCAAACAACTGACATGAAGTCCTGGGTATAGGAGGCTGGGACAGAATATATTTGTTCAGACGACGAGAGAACCAAAGAAGCTCAAGAAGACGATCACTTCGTCCTTTCACTGCCCATATCCCACACACGTGACGCCATTCTCATCCAGTCTATTCGTCTTGATCCTTCACCTTCCTTCTCGTCACTTTTCGGTCTGTGTCTCTATCGGATCCAAAGAGACTATAATCATCTATTGTGGGCTTGCTAAGCTCAATATCAAATTTTCGCGCATCTCCCTCGCCCCCCCAGGGCCCCCCCACCTCGATATGTTCTCTAATTCCGCACTATTCCCACACTGGCGTCGCAAAGCAGCCGAACGCTCCAGCAGCAGCTCTTATGAGGTGCCCTTCTATCTGAATGCAGCTTACTATCCCAATTGGCGCATTTATCAGAAACAGTCCCCTTCCTCGCTGCGACTGGGATTTGTCTCGCATATATTCTACGCATTTGCCTGGTACTAGTAGCCACTCAGCACCCACATCTGGCTCTCGGGCCTTGAACCCATACATACAGGATGTTAACCAATTTTGCTTCTCTTCTCATAGGGTTAAAGAAGACGGTACCGTCTATGTGAGTACTCTTCCGCTCTCGTTTTGTGGGTTGTAAACTGACTCTATCCAGTTGAGCGACGAATGGGCCGACACACAGATGCCCGTGGACGGCACTACCGGCTGTCTCCGGGCTTTCGCCCAGCTAAAGCCAAAGTATCCTAAACTGAAACTCATTCTGTCTATCGGTGGCGCCGGCAAGGGAAGTGAGAACTTCTCGCGCGTGGCTCGCAGTCAATCCTGTATGGAGACTTTTGGGCGGACCGCCCGAGCACTGGTGGACGAGTACGGCCTTGATGGTATAGATGGTAAGCTTATTTGTTTCTGCCCTGCGCTCTCCAACTCCATTCAACCCTGGTTTCCACGCAAAGTCCTTGCAACGCCATGCTAAGAATGGCTCAAAAAGTGGACTGGGAACACCCCACCGACGCCCATCAAGGCGCCGACTATATCCGCCTCCTCGCCCAAACCCGCAAGTCCCTCCCGACCCCCCGCTACCTGGTAACATCCGCCCTCCCCGCCTCGCCCTGGTTCCTGCGACACATCGACCTCTCCAAAGCCCAATCCTACCTGGACCTCCTCAACATCATGGCCTACGACTTCACGGGACCCTGGACGCCGGAAACCGGCCACCACGCGCAACTCACTGCCCCGCAGAGTAGTTCACACCCCAACGCGAGCAGCAACACCCTTTCCGGCCAATCCAGCATCGCCTACATCCTCAACAATCACCCCATTGATCCCAAGAAGCTTCTGCTGGGGGTC